AGACCAGAGAGAGACCAGAAGAGAAACCAGAGAGAGACCAGAGAGAGAGACCAGAGAGAGACCCAGAGAGAGAACAGAGAGATGCGACGCAGAGAGAAGACCCAGAGAGAGACCAGAGAGATGACCAGACGAGAGACCAGAGAGAGACCAGAGAGAGACCAGAGAGAGACCAGAGAGAGACCAGAGGAGAGACCAGAGAGAGACCAGAGAGAGAGACCCCAGAGAGAGAGATCTCAAGAGAGAGACCAGAAGAGAGACCAGAGAGAGAGACCCAGAGAGACCAGAGAGAGACCAGAGAGAGACCAGAGAGAGACCAGAGAGAGACCATAGAGAGACCAGAGAGAGAGACCAGAAGAGAGACCATAGAGGAGACCAGAGAGAGAGACCAGAGAGAGAGACCAAAGAAGAGAACCAGAGAGAGACCAAGAGAAGAGACCTGAGAGAGACCAGAGAGAGACCAGAGAGAGAGACCAGAGAAGAGACCAGAGAGAGACCAGAGAGAGACCAGAGAGAGACCCAGAGAGAGAGACCTAAGAGAGAGACCAGGAGAGAGAGACCAGAGAGAGACCAGAGAGAGACCAGAGAGAGACCAGAGAGAGAGACCAGAGGAGAGACCAAGAGAGAGACCAGAGAAGAGACCAGAGAGAGAGACCAGAGAGAGACCGATAGAGAGACCAGAGAGAGAGACCAGAGAGAGACCAGAGAGAGACCAGAGAGAGAGACCAGAGAGAGACTAGAAAACAGAGAGAGACCAGAGAGAGACCTAGAGAGAGACCCAGAGAGAGAGACCAGAGAGAGACCAAGAGAGAGAGACCAGAGAGAGACCAGAGAGAGACCAGAGAGAGACCAGAGAGAGAGACCAGAGAGAGACCAGAGAGAGACCAGAGAGAGACCACAGAGAGAGACCAGCAGAGAGACCAAGAGAGAGAGACCAGAGAGAGACCAGAGAGAGAGACCAGAGAGAGACCATAGAGAGAGACCAGAGAGAGACCAGAGAGAGAGACCAGAGAGAGACCAGAGAGAGACCAGAGAGAGAACCATGAGAGAGAGACCAGAGAGAGACCAGAAGAGAGACCAGAGAGAGACCAGAGAGAGAGACCAGAGAGAGAGACCAGAGAGAGACCAGAGAGAGACCAGAAAGAGAGACCAGAGAAAGAGACCAGAGAGAGACCAGAGAGAGACCAGAGAGAGACCAGAGAGAGACCAGATAGAGAGACCAGAGAGAGACCAGAGAGAGAGACCAGAGAGAGACCAGAGAGAGACCAGAGAGAGAGACCAGAGAGAGACACAGAGAGAGAGACCAGAGAGAGACCAGAGAGAGACCAAGAGAGAGACCAGAGAGAGACCAGAGAGAGACCAGAGAGAGACCAGAGAGAGACCAGAGAGAGACCAGAGAGAGACCAGAGAGAGACCAGAGAGAGACCAGAGAGAGAGACCAGAGAGAGAGACCAGAGAGAGACCAGAGAGAGACCAGAGAGAGACCAGAGAGAGACCAGAGAGAGACCAGAGAGAGACCAGAGAGACCAGAGAGAGACCAGAGAGAGACAGAGAGAGACCAGAGAGAGAACCAGAAGAGAGACCAGAGAGAGACCAAGAGAGACCAGAGAGAGACCAGAGAGAGACCAGAGAGAGAGACCAGAGAGAGACCAGAGAGAGACCAGAGAGAGACCAGAGAGAGAGACCAGAGAGAGACCAGAGAGAGAGACCAGAGAGAGACCAGAGAGAGAGACCAGAGAGGAGACAGAGAGAGACCATTAGAGAGAACCAGTGAGAGACCAAGAGAGATCCAGAGAGAGAGACCAGAGAGAGAGACAAGAGAGAGACCAAGAGAGACCAGAAGAGAGACCAGAGAAGAGACCAGAGAGAGACCAGAGAGAGACCAGAGAGAGACCAGCGAGAGAGACCAAGAGAGACCAGAGAGAGACCAGAGAGAGACCAAGAGAACCAGAGAGAGAGACCAGAGAGAGACCAAAAGACCAAGAGAGACCAAGAGAAACATAGAGCGCCAAAGAGAGACCAGAGAGAGACCAAGAGGAGACCAAGAGAGAACAGAGAGAGAGAGACCAGATAGAGACCAGAGAGAGACCAGAGAAGACCAGAGAAGACCAAGAGAGACCAAGAGAACCAGAGATGAGAGGACCAAGAGAGACCAAGAGAGAACAGAGAGACGAACCAGAGAGAGACCAGAGAGACCAGAGAGACCAAGACTTGTAAGAGTCCACTCTCTCGATGTCCTTTCCCTGGATGTTCACTGGAGCTGGAGCGGCAGAATGACGTCTGCGGAAATCCACCACCATCTCCTTGGTCTTCCCCGCGTTGATGAGGAGGTGGTTCCGCTGACACCAGTCCACAAAGTCCTGTATAACTCCTCTGTACTCTGCGTCATCGTCCTCGGAGCTGAGTCTGATGATGGCAGAGTCGTCAGAGAACTTCTGTAGAAAACAATCGTCCGTGTTGTGTCTGAAGTCCGCAGTTTAAAGGGTGAAGAGGAACAGCGCGAGGACAGTTCCCTGGGGGCCCCCCACACTGCAGGTCAGGACCTCCGACACAAAGTCCCTGGTTCTCACAAACTGGGGTCTGTCTGTGAGGTAGTCCAGGATCCACTGGGACAGGCCGTAGTCCACACCGGCTCTCTCCATCTTGTCCCTGAGAAGCCTCGGCTGGATGGTGTTGAAGGCGCTGGAGAAATCAAAGAAGAGGATCCTCACAGTGGAGCCGGGTTTCTCCAGGTGGGACAGGGAGCGATGGAAGAGGGAGATGATGGCGTCCTCGACTCCGATGCCCGGCCTGTAGGCGAACTGCAGCGGGTCCATCGCTGGGCTCAGAGTGGAGCGGAGATGTCCCAGGACCAGTCTCTCCAGTGTCTTCATGCAGTGGGATGTTAGAGCCACTGGCCTGAAGTCGCTGAGGTGTTTGGCCCGTGGTTTCTTGGGCACCGGTACCACACAGGAGGTCTTCCAGAGCTGTGGTACCGCCCTCAGCTTGAGGCTCAGGTTGAAGACGCGCTCCATCACTCCACAGAGTTCGTCTGCACAGGAGCGAAGGAGCCTGGAGCTGATGTTATCTGGTCCTGGTGCCTTTCTGGTCTTTATCCTCCTCATCTCTGTCCTCACCTGAGCAGCGGTGACTGACAGGGGGGTGCAGGGGGGCTGGGTGCAGTGGGTGCTGAGTAGGGAGGACGGGGGCTCAGTGGTGGTGGGGGGAGTGTCTCTGGGAGGGCAGGTGGGGCCGTGGGAGGAAGACTGTGGTGGCATGACAGAGGTGTGAACGATCGTAGGTGTTGCCCTTTGTTCCGCTGCCGGAGTGAGGGAGAGCGTCTGCGCAGGGGGAGGGGAAGGCTGGTCAAAGCGAGCGAAGAATGTATTTAGCTCGTTTGCCCACAGCTGGTCTCCTGTGGACTGACTGTTTTGAAGCCTGACATGGATTTGAGGCCTCTCCACACCCCCCGCACGTCCTGCCGAGCCAGTTGCTCCTCCATCTTCCTCCTGTAGATGTTTTTAGCTGCGCGTATATTCCACCTCAACTTCCTTTGCGCAGATTTAAGGGCTTCCTTATCCCCTGACTTAAAAGCCCGCTTTTTGTCAGCTTTGATGTAAGGGTTGATCCATGGCTTATTTTTTGGGAAACACCGTACAGTGCGGGCAGGTACGGTGTTCTCAAAGCAAAAGTTAATGTAGTCCGTGACACACTCTGTCATGGCATTAATGTCCTCCCCGTGTGGGTCACAGAGCTCGTTCCACAGCGTTGTGTCGAAACAGTCTCTGAGGGCCTCCTCTGTGTCCACGTTCCACAGCTTCACCACACGTGAGACAGCAGGATGCCTACGCACAACCGGCTCATAAATGGGCCGTAGATGGACAATGTTGTGGTCGGCTCTTCCCAGGGGTGGAAGGGCAGACGCGGTGTAGGCATCTGAAGAAGATGACATAGTCTGGGATCGCGTCTTTCATTCAGACAGAAGACATGTTTTATTGTCGATGGTAGAGACAGCACGAACAACACGAACAACAGAATGCAAGTGTATTATACAGAGCGGAGGCATGGAGACCTCCAATCAGCAGCTTCCACGGTGCCATGTAGCTTGGCCTTCAGATAGACAAAACAAGTAAAAAGTACTGGCTTCTGCACATTGATAGAATGATGAGTTTAACTTTAACAAAAGTTGCTTAAAAGTGTTATGAAATCTCACATTCCCCCCTCTGGTCACACATTCACGTGTGACCATCAGGATCGATAAACAGCAACATAACATCATAACTCAATACTTAAACTTGGTACTTCACTCGGTACTTCAAAAAACTCAGAACTCGGAATACTTCAAAAACTCAGAAAACATTTTCAGATCTTTCATAAAACTTGTCAACAATCTTCAGTAAAATACCAAACTTCATCAGTCGATGGTTCCAGATATTGCTTTGAAAACAGTCTCTCCCACTTCTCCGTGTTGGTTTCTTCAGGCTGCATTTGTGTTGAGCCATGAATTCGTCTGTGACGTGTCTTTCAATCACACGTTTCAGCTTTAGTGTCCAGATTCAGCAATTCAATTCAGTCCAAATTATGTCCAAATTCAGATATCCAATTGTTCCAAATTATGTCCATGCAAAAGAGGGCGATGGTATTGTCCATGTCTCAGCAGCTCACAGCAGGCCTGAGTGGAATCAGGGGCTGTGCAGATTGTCCAAGTGTGCTGATCCAGATGCATGGGTTCTCTTGAGGTTTCTCAGTTTTGGCTTAAAAAAAACCCACATTTTTGTGTAAAAAAAAAAAGTCTTCTGTTCACTAGATGTTACAGACAAGGCCCGCATCCTTCCACCACCTGAAGAAGATGACATGTCTGGGATTGCGTCTTTCATTCAGACAGAAGACATGTTTTATTGTCGATGGTAGAGACAGCACGAACAACAGATACAACAGAATGCAAGTGTATTATACAGAGCGGAGGCATGGAGACCTCCAATCAGCAGCTTCCACGGTGCCATGTAGCTTGGCCTTCAGATAGACAAAACAAGGGAAAAGTACTGGCTTCTGCACATTGATAGAATGATGAGTTTAACTTTAACAAAAGTTTCTTAAAAGTGTTATGAAATCTCACACATCCTTCACATTAACAAAGAATAAATCCAATGTCTTACTGCCTCGTGTGGGAAAGGTGATGTATTAGGTGAAGGATGGGAGAGTAGAGGCTGGAGAGGCGTGATTAAAATCCCCTGTGATGATAAACAGGGCCTGTGGGTGCTGTGTTTGTAGACTGCTCATGGTGGAAAAGAGGCTCTCACATGCATTGTCAGCTTTGGCCGAAGGGGGTATATACACTGCTGTAACAATAACGTGACTATACTCCCGTGGCAGATAGTATGGACGCATGCCAATAACCAAAAGCTCAATGTCTATGCAACAAACCTGGCTCTTTACTGTGCAGTGTTCTGGCTTGCAGTAGTCCGTATTCACAAACACAGCCAGACCCCCGCCTCTCCTCTTCCCACGCGGCTGTCCGGTCCGCCCGGATCATGTGAAATCCATCTATTTCCACATTAGAGTCCGGATTATCAGAGGTCAGCCATGTCTCTGTGTATATCTGGAGGCTGCAGTGTTTATATTCCCTCTGATAACGCGTCAGGCTGGCCAGCTCGTCTGCCTTGTTGGTCAACGAGCGCACGTTCCCGGTGGTAACGGAGGGCAGAGCGGGTCTGGATCCTCGCCTTCTCCCTCGTACTTTCTGCCCTGCGCGTCTTAAGCAGCAGCTCGTCCGGGATGTTGTGTCTGTCCTCCGGGAGCACTACGCGGCCTCGCAGCGCTAGTAAGCTCTCCCTGGAGTACGAGACAATGGGCGTGCAGGGCACTCGGGGCACACTCGGGCAGCTCAGACACAGTGTCCAATCGAGTCCCAAAAACACGGAGAAAGTTGGAAAAGACTCTTCCCTCTACTGTGCATTAGCCTCATGTAGCTATGTGTTCAAAAATATTTACAAAATCAAACGTAAAAAGTGAAAAAGGAGCGAAAAGAGGGGGAGCGCGATGCAACAGGCTGCTGGCAGCAATTAAATGAAATTTATGGGCTTCCTGTTTGTCAGAGGGCGGAGCCATAATAACATTTTTTCCATGTCTTGACTTGAGGAACATGTGTACCAAATTACATGGTTCTACGACAATTTTAACCTCAAACCCCTCCCATAGGCATTTTTAAATTGGCTGTTGTAGGTGGCGCTATAGAGCCAATTTCAAAATTTTAACTTTCAAATGACCTAGACCCAAGAGTTGAACCATGGATTCAAGTTTTGTGCAAATCAGACATTGTTTGTGCAAACGGAAGCAATTTTTCTATTGTCAAAAACGGAAAAAAATATACGCCACTTTTTGGCGCTCCGCTGCTCAAACAACGTTTCACTGATCAAAATTCCCTGAAGTCATTTTGATGGTACATGTGTTGAGATGATGTGGAGCGATTTTGAGGCGAATCGGTGAAACGGCCGAGGCTGGTTTGATGTTTGTGTGAGGTGTACATTTGCAAAGAATGGGGAGCGTTTGTCGTCGCCACGGCAACAAGGTAAAAAATAAGCCTTGGATTCTATTGACTTTTTGAATCAAGAGGGCAAAACAGATTTATGTGCAAAATTTCAAACATTTTGAAAAAACTAAATTTGAAATTGCCCATCTAAAACTTTGAAATAGTCTGTAGGGGGCGTTGATGTGTCAATTTGAATCAATTCACTTTCAAATTACCTAGACCCTAGAGTTGAACAATGTATTAAAGTTTTGTGCAAATCAGACTTTGTTTGTGCAAACGGGAGCAAATTTAATGTTGTCAAAAACCGCCAAAAAAGGTCACATTTTGCTGCTCGAACAGTGTTTCACTGATCAAAAATCCCTGACGTCATTTTGAAGGTACATGTGTTGAGATGATGTGGAGCGATTTTGAGGCGAATCGGTGAAACGGCCGAGGAGGAGTCGCTTTCCAACCGACATGTATGAAAACTTTTGCTGTTCATTTTTCCATTTTGCAGTGAAATTTATGGGCTTCCGGTTTGTCAGAGGGCGGAGCCATAATAATATTTCTTTCTTGTCTTGACTTGAGGAACATGTGTACCGAATTTCATGGCTCTACAACAAACTTGACCTCCAAAAAGTCCCATAGGGGTATTATTTTGGCTGTTGTAGGTGGCGCTGTTCTGGCATTTTTTGAGTCCAATAAAAATAAACACAAAAATATCACATTTTTCGCCAGGTCTGATTTTTGGGCAAAATTTAACAACTTTTCATGCATGTTCAGGGGGTCAAATTAAGGCTCAAAGTGCAGAATTTGACATCTCTCGAGCAAAAACAATAGGCCCTTTCCCCGTTCGGGGCTCGGGCCTAAAAAGGGCGGATGACCAATGTCCATAAATGTTGTTTGTAACGTGCTTTGTGACTCTGGTCTGTGAAGGCACTATATAAATAAAGATGACTAATCATCTCGCTGCTTCCCTGTGTCCGTGGTCTCAGCTCGCTTCAGCTCCCCCCTGCTGCAGCGGGACGGCCCGCCGGACCAGGACAGCGCGGTGTTCTGGTGTCGCTCCAGTGGAGGGTTCCCCAAACCCATCGTGTCCTGGCTCATCAACGAAACGGAGCAGCCCCCAGAGGACTCTGTCTGGACCCAGGTCGCCCCCGTCCCAGACAACAACCTCTACAACGTGACGAGCAAGCTCACCGTCAACATCAGCAGCGACGACAGCGTGTCCTGCTCCATCATGAACCAGTGGATGAACGAGACCCTCACCTCCAGGAGCAGTGAGTCTCATTCACACTCATTTAAAGGAGCAGTATGTAAAAATCTGGCCGAAGGTGCTATTGCAATCTCTCCCACTCTCCCTTACTCAGGTTGCCAGATATGCAGATGAATCCAGCTGGGACCATAATAGTTGAATATACAAGAGTTTTGTGAACAACAAATCTATAACCAACACCTTTTCACGACATCCTTGATAGAAATCCTCATTTTATTCCTTTTTGGTGATTAATGATTTGAGAATCATTACAAGACCTTTTTTAGTTCTGCGGCCACATGTTACTTTACCAGTGTGATTAGTTAGACGCGAAACACGCGAGTTCTGGTGACCTGGATCACGGACTTTCTGATTGGTAAAATGGTGGAGGGCGGGACATCGAAATGAAAACAACAACAAGAAACAGGGGCTGTAAAATTAATTTTGAAATTCAAATATCTTTTTACATATTATGGCCCTTTCATGATGACTTGACATGAAAATCTTACATTTTTCTACTTTAATCTGTGGGTTATTGTAATTGCTGGACTAAAATGTACTATTGTTTGTAACTGACTTTATAACAATGCGTCTTGGGCTGTGTGCTTCTCATTCCTAATTTTCTGTAACTTATGGTGCAACAGTAACATTTCTCCACTATGGGACCAATAAATTATCTCGGACATCCATGACATGAAGTAGCATTTCAGATTCATGCAGCTAAAATCTGAAACAGTATGTATCTTCAATCTTTTTTTTTTTTTTTATTATTATGAAAGGTAGTATACAGTATTCTTGCATTCAGGTCTCAGTCAAAATGTAGCCACGCAAGATAATGATAAATAATGATAAATAAGGAATAAAAAAAAAATATATATATATATATATATATATATATATACACACACATATATATAACCAAAAAGAAAGAATGGATAAAATGAAAGATTTGTTATACATATATACATATACACATAAGCGCATCTACCTACACATAGTTACATGGGCACATACATACATGCATATACATACATGCACACACACACCTATAAATATATATATACACACACGCATACACACGCACATACACACATATATATATATACATACACATATATATACACATACATACATACATACATGTATATACACATACACATATACATACATGCACATATATACACACATACACATACATACACATACATACATACATACACATATACATACACACACCTCCATATGCATACATACATACATACATACATACATACACACAGACACACACACAGACACACACACACATACCCATGCACATACAGGTACACCTATACACACCCATGCATATACACCCATACATATACACATGCACACATATCTACACATATAAAGGTGCATGTGCAATCATGCAAACAAACAAAATGTGTCTGGCTATTGTTATATAACTCATCCCTTTCCAATTAGAAGCTGAAGTATACATGGCGTGTTTAAAAGTTCATAATACAAATAATGATATCTTACATATATCTCTCCCAATAGGCTTTAATAACTCTGCATGAGAAAAGCATATGTATTAAGGTCCCTGTTTGCGAGTTACATCTCCAGCAGAGGGAGGAGCTTCTCAGCTTTGCTCTGTGCATTTTAAAGGGTGTCCAGTAAAGTCTATTCAATATTTTGAACTGTATTAGTTTTGATCTTGCATCCCTCATAGGGGTCAGCATATTTTTCACCAATGTGGCCCATTCTTCCCTTTTAAACTGTATTTGAAAATCTTTTTCCCAAGCCTTTTTTAGCCCAATGTTAAGGTTGTTCGCTTCCTCCATTAAAAAGGTGTAGAAGGAGCCCACTGAGTTTGATGATGCTTTTATTTGTTTAAATTTAGTTTTAATCAATGACTCAGAGAAAAAGGTGTTCAGCCTTGAGATTTTCTGGAGGCAATTTCTAAGTTGTAGATATTTCCAAAAGTCTTTGTTATTTAGGTCAAATTGTTGTTTTAGCTCCTCAAAGGATTTCATGAATTTATTAAAGTAGAGGTCTTTAATATGTTTTATTCCTTTGAGATACCAGTCTTTCCAGAAAAAAGTTCTTTCTCCTATCTTTAAAAGTGGATTATGCCATACTGATGCCGCTCTTGACAAAAAGGGGGATATTGCCTTGCTTTTATGGAGTTGTTGCCAACAATCAATAGTATGGGTAATAATTGGGTTTTTTAAATAAAGGGATGGGCATTGGCTTAAGTATTCTTCTGGATTGAACGGTGTACTGATGTCCGCCTCCAGATTTACCCATGCCGGTCTATTTGGTCCATCACTCAATATAGATGCGATTTGAGAGCATGTAAATGATTGTTTATATAGTTTAGAGGGTTAAGTTGTTCTTCTTTTTTTAAGATTGTTGTTTTCTGCATAAAAATGCCTCTAATAAATGCCTTAAATCCATCCCAGATATAACTTTGCTCTGTGGATCCATTATTTACTTTGAAATAAAATAATATTTGGTCTTTAACCCTCTATGGCATACTGTTGCCCTCGGGCAACAAACCAATCTTTTGGCTCTTACACTGGCCCTTTAATGTTTTTTTTTATTTTTATTTTTTATAAAATTACTAGACATGTTTCTGTCCAATTAAATCAAGTTCTGAAGTGGGTGGGGGAAATTGTCTGGGGGTGGAGCAATCCTTTCAGGAAGCAGAGTCACAAGTGACACAGTGCCAGAAAAAGGTAGGATAAATATTAGTGCTGTCCAACGATTAAAACATTTAATCGCGATTAATCGCATGAATTTCATAGTTAACTCGCGATTAATCGCAAATTAGTCACACATTTGCGTGCTGTGTGCAATTGCTTTTTTTATTGAAAACAATGTGTAGTGTTATATTACACACTAACATTTGATGCAAAATCATCAATAAATGGATGACAAAATAAATAATTGGTAACAAAAAGCCCCTTCAATGTGTGTGTGTGGGTGTGTGTGTGTATGTGTGGGTATAGACCAGGGGTGGCCAACCCGCGGCTCGTGAGCCGCATGCGGCTCTTTGGCTGGTTCCGTGCGGCTCTCGGGCTTTCACTCGACAAGCGTCAAAAACGCCTCGGTGGTGGCGCTGCCTTTCATTCCATATGTAGTTCTGACCAATAGTAAAGGCCGACTTCACTCCACTAGCGGGGCCACCAAAACAATCTGACGTCGGCGAACGTCAATTCTGGTTGGTCAGATGCGCTGTCAATCACTCTGCAGCTGCTACCTCAGCTGTAGCAAATATCATAACAAACAACACGTTGCCCCGAACCATGACGTCCGTACGGAAAACAATTCCTTGGTCGCTGGATGAGGGCAACACCTTCCTCAGTTTGAGGAGAGGACACCAGCCTGATCTCGCTGGTTCCACCAGAAACCAGAAGGTGTTTGTGGAGCTAGCACTAAGGACGGAGCAGAATGATTCCCACAAACATGACAATGCAGAGAAAAGTTAAAAAGCTTAAAAGTGACAACCGTGAAATGAAAGATCGCAGCAGCAGAAGTAGAGGCAGACCCGAAAAGTCTGGAGGTGGTTTGACCAAATGGATTACATTTACGGACATCGGCTAACACCGGCTAAACATGCTAAAACCAGCTAACAACAACTAGCATTACACCAGGAGATAAGCCAACTCTGCCTGGTGAGTGTCTGTCTTCAATCAAATGCAAAAGTATCTGGTCTTATACTGAACATGTGTCTGTGGTTCTAAATCAGCTAAAGTGGTGTTGGTGTTATGTGTCAAATCTATATCTTTTACTAAAGACAGTTGTGTTTCTGCTGAACACTGGGTTGAAACTTGATTTTTTTTTCTTGGTTAGAGATTGAAAGCATTCATTTCGGAATCATAATTGATGTTCGCTGACGTGAAATTGTTCTGGTATCGACTCGCCCGGTTAGAACCAGGGCCAAACCATTAATAAAAAGTACCGGGGAGCGGTTGAAGCGAGCGGTGGAAGCGCCCGCAAACCGGGGAGAGTCGAGTCCAGCCCTTCAGTACTGTAGGAGTCAATTTCTGTCATTATCATGTTGATGACATTTACAATAAATCTGTCTGAGCAGAGCACACCTCTCTCTGCTGCTCAGACAGATTGCATGTGTGTGCGCGTGTCTGCTCGTGTGCGTACAGTACGTGCGCGTGTGCGTGCGTGTGTAAGGGTTGGGGTGATGTTTATGTAGTGCACATTTGTATGATGTGGCTCTTTGCTGTAACACAGTAAAAAAAATTGGCTCTTAGTCTCTGACTGGTTGGCCACCCCTGGTATAGACCATAGACTGTATAGAAACATCATGGTGTCATTATGATGATGATAAACAATCTGTAAATATTTTGTAAATTTGTTCATGTAAATACTCTATGATGTTTCTCTGTTTACCTTCGGTATATCTATGACTGTATACTGTTTGCTTGTATTGCCTTTTTTATTAACCCCTCCCCCCATCTCCCACTTCATGTCCCTCCCCTCCTATGTGCCCTTCTGGGTTTCTTCTTTGGCCCCCTTTATCTCCAACTACATATTGTTTGTAATCTCTGTCTACAATGTATCTGAACTAGTCCTTTTCTTTGTTTCTATGTGTTTGTCTGCAATAAAAAGTAAAAAAAAAAAAAAAAAAAAAAAAATCTTTTTTTTTTTTTTTTTTTTTTTTATCGCGCGATAAAAAAAATGACGGCGTCAATATTGATTTGCGTTAACGCGTTAATAACGCGCTATTTTGGACAGCCCTAATAAATATAACTTTTCTACATGTTTAAATTCGAAAAACTTGATAAAATAAATATGTGACTGTGCATGAATATGTTAAGAAGCATATTTGATTGTTAATATATGTTTTTTGTTTCCACTTATATACAAAAACTGCACGTTTAGGTTTGTTGCCTCAAGGCAACATCATGCAGTTGTAGCACTTTTGTTTGGGCAGTGTAATGCTGCTGGTTGGGGATGTGCTTGAATGGATAATCAACACCACACTCAATGTTTTTTGCTGTTCTATCTTCCATTCTGATCTATCTACTATTGCTTGTAGGAAATGGATGCAATAACGTTTTACGGGTCCAAGTCCTGGTCTCAGGTCTCTGTCCTGAAGTCCTCTCACATTAGTCCTGGTCTCAGGTCTCTGTCCTGAAGTCCTCTCACATTAGTCCTGGTCTCAGGTCTCTGTCCTGAAGTCCTCTCACATTAGTCCTGGTCTCAGGTCTCTGTCCTGAAGTCCTCTCACATTAGTCCTGGTTTCAGGTCTCTGTCCTGAAGTCCTCTCACATTAGTCCTGGTCTCAGGTCTCTGTCCTGAAGTCCTCCCACATTAGTCCTGGTCTCAGGTCTCTGTCCTGAAGTCCTCTCACATTAGTCCTGGTCTCAGGTCTCTGTCCTGAAGTCCTCTCACATTAGTCCTGGTCTCAGGTCTCTGTCCTGAAGTCCTCTCACATTAGTCCTGGTATCAGGTCTCTGTCCTGAAGTCCTCTCACATTAGTCCTGGTCTCAGGTCTCTGTCCTGAAGTCCTCTCACATTAGTCCTGGTCTCAGGTCTCTGTCCTGAAGTCCTCTCACATTAGTCCTGGTCTCAGGTCTCTGTCCTGAAGTCCTCTCACATTAGTCCTGGTCTCAGGTCTCTGTCCTGAAGTCCTCTCACATTAGTCCTGGTCTCAGGTCTCTGTCCTGAAGTCCTCTCACATTAGTCCTGGTCTCAGGTCTCTGTCCTGAAGTCCTCACACATTAGTCCTGGTCTCAGGTCTCTGTCCTGAAGTCCTCTCACATTAGTCCTGGTCTCAGGTCTCTGTCCTGAAGTCCTCTCATATTAGTCCTGGTCTCAGGTCTCTGTCCTGAAGTCCTCTCACATTAGTCCTGGTCTCAGGTCTCTGTCCTGAAGTCCTCTCACATTAGTCCTGGTCTCAGGTCTCTGTCCTGAAGTCCTCTCACATTAGTCCTGGTCTCAGGTCTCTGTCCTGAAGTCCTCTCACATTAGTCCAGGTCTCAGGTCTCTGTCCTGAAGTCCTCTCACATTAGTCCTGGTCTCAGGTCTCTGTCCTGAAGTCCTCTCACATTAGTCCTGGTCTCAGGTCTCTGTCCTGAAGTCCTCTCACATTAGTCCTGGTCTCAGGTCTCTGTCCTGAAGTCCTCTCACATTAGTCCTGGTCTCAGGTCTCTGTCCTGAAGTCCTCTCACATTAGTCCTGGTCTCAGGTCTCTGTCCTGAAGTCCTCTCACATTAGTCCTGGTCTCAGGTCTCTGTCCTGAAGTCCTCTCACATTAGTCCAGGTCTCAGGTCTCTGTCCTGAAGTCCTCTCACATTAGTCCTGGTCTCAGGTCTCTGTCCTGAAGTCCTCTCACATTAGTCCTGGTCTCAGGTCTCTGTCCTGAAGTCCTCTCACATTAGTCCTGGTCTCAGGTCTCTGTCCTGAAGTCCTCTCACATTAGTCCTGGTCTCAGGTCTCTGTCCTGAAGTCCCTCTCACATTAGTCCTGGTCTCAGGTCTCTGTCCTGAAGTCCTCTCACATTAGTCCTGGTCTCAGGTCTCTGTCCTGAAGTCCTCTCACATTAGTCCTGGTCTCAGGTCTCTGTCCTGAAGTCCTCTCACATTAGTCCTGGTCTCAGGTCTCTGTCCTGAAGTCCTCTCACATTAGTCCTGGTCTCAGGTCTCTGTCCTGAAGTCCTCTCACATTAGTCCTGGTCTCAGGTCTCTGTCCTGAAGTCCTCTCACATTAGTCCTGGTCTCAGGTCTCTGTCCTGAAGTCCTCTCACATTAGTCCTGGTCTCAGGTCTCTGTCCTGAAGTCCTCTCACATTAGTCCTGGTCTCAGGTCTCTGTCCTGAAGTCCTCTCACATTAGTCCTGGTCTCAGGTCTCTGTCCTGAAGTCCTCTCACATTAGTCCTGGTCTCAGGTCTCTGTCCTGAAGTCCTCTCACATTAGTCCTGGTCTCAGGTCTCTGTCCTGAAGTCCTCTCACATTAGTCCTGGTCTCAGGTCTCTGTCCTGAAGTCCTCTCACATTAGTCCTGGTCTCAGGTCTCTGTCCTGAAGTCCTCTCACATTAGTCCTGGTCTCAGGTCTCTGTCCTGAAGTCCTCTCACATTAGTCCTGGTCTCAGGTCTCTGTCCTGAAGTCCTCTCACATTAGTCCTGGTCTCAGGTCTCTGTCCTGAAGTCCTCTCACATTAGTCCTGGTCTCAGGTCTCTGTCCTGAAGTCCTCTCACATTAGTCCTGGTCTCAGGTCTCTGTCCTGAAGTCCTCTCACATTAGTCCTGGTCTCAGGTCTCTGTCCTGAAGTCCTCTCACATTAGTCCTGGTCTCAGGTCTCTGTCCTGAAGTCCTCTCACATTAGTCCTGGTCTCAGGTCTCTGTCTTGGCTGTGAAACATCTATGTTTCACAGCCACTAGCAACTGCTTCTTGCTGTTCCATACACAATAGGCTACCGAGACCCGCAGCTGTGTGACTTACTAGAGGCTCAGAACTGTTTTTGCTTTTGTTTTTGCAATCTGGAGTGCTCTGTACCCGTTTAAAAAAGTTGAGCTTGAAAAATAAAAGAATAAAAGCTTCTCTAATGTATTTGTTTTATTATTTTCCTAATTCAATGTAATATTGAAAACCTTGGTGTTTTAGTACCCTCGTCGCACAATGTTGCCCTTAAGCAACAAACCATTATCTGATTGGGGGGTGGGGGGGGGGGGGTCAAATGTAAAGATCAATGTTATTAGGGACCCACGAGCTCTTAAAAAGGGTGTTGAAATATTTTTTTCCCCCTAAAATAAAAAGTCATGCCATAGAGGGTTAATGTAAGAAACAAACTCCTCCTTATCGAAGAGACTTGTATTCATTCTCCATATATAATCTCTTTCTCCTTTCAGTTCCAATGAGAGGCCTAGCTCAATCGGAGCGTGATCTGTAATTCCCATTGTACTAATGTTACAATAGGTTACACATTTCATAAAAGGGTGGGATAAGAAATAGTCTATACGAGAAAAAACGTTATGTCTATTTGAGAGAAAGGTGTAGTCTCTTTCAGTTGGATTCAATATTCTCCAAATATCTCTTAGACCCATATCTTTGCATATTATTTTTAAAGCGTCTTGTGTCTTAGAGGGCCTAGTGGTATATTTGCCACTTCTATCTAAGAAGTTATCCAACACTTCATTGAAATCTCCACCCCATACCATTGGGAAGTCTCCAAAGTCCAGTAAGGCAGACTTGACTTTGTAGAAAAATGGAGGGTCTTCTTCATTGGGTGCGTAAATCTTCAATCTTTTTAATGTACTGTGATCATTTATGATTTCAATGCCTTTTAAGCGCTTTGCGTTGTGTATGAACTGTGCTTCACAAGAAAACTTTCCTTATAATCTTAATGTCCAATACTATGTCCAACTCTAGCAGCCAAGCTCTAACTGTGATTTTGACTGAGCTCTTGTCTAAGTCCTGGTTGTGTCTGATCTCAGGTGGAGTGACAGACAACACGTTCCGGAGCCGTGCGTCTGAAGGCATGTGGATGTTCAGTACTGGACTGTGCGTTGCCGTGGGGATCATGGTGGGAGCGGGCGTGGCCTATCAGATTCACCTGGACCGCATCAGTAAGAAGAGGAGGGTCCTGTACGAGTCCACAAAAGCACAAAGAGGGAAAGAACAGAGAAACCAGAGAGCACTTTCCAGATGTGGCTACCCCAAGTGGTCTTTTACTAAAGCCCAAAGGACGAGAAAGGCCAGAGACACAGTCCAACAGACAGTAGAAAGTAGGAGGAGAGGGGTGTCCTTACCGTATGTGGCGGGAGTTTCAGAGAAACTACAAAGAATCTTTAGGCAACACAAAATCCCTGTGTATTTCAAACCTTTCAACACGTTAAGACAGAAATTAGTGCATCCCAAAGACAAAACACCCAGACACAAACAGAGCAATGTGGTGTATTCAATTAAATGTAGTGAAGAGGAGTGCACTGACCACTATATTGGAGAAACTAAACAAACTCTACAGAAACGACTTTACCAACATCGTAGAGAAAACTCTAGTGGGCCACAGTCGGCTGTTCATCTCCTCCTCAAGGCCTCCAACCACACGGTGGATGACACAGAGGTTAAAATTCTGGCTCGGGAGAAGAATTGGTTTGAGAGAGGGGTGAAAGAAGCCATTTTTGTGAGGAAACAAAAACCTTCTCTTAACAGAGGAGGAGGGTTAAGATTTGTTTTGCCTTGCATCTATGACAACATCCTAAAAACAACGCCCTAACTTGGGACAAGGTCAGTGACATGCTAATGAGTTAGGAGGGGTGAGACCTGCACTCCACTTGAGCATCCCAGCAGACAATAGGTCTGTGACATGCTAAGGAGTTAGGGTCGTTAGCCTCAGCAGGGTCGTTAGATCTGCTCCCTTCTACATCAGACCTTTGATTGTTTATGAGTTAGCATCAGGATTAGGGTGTGGCTAACCACACCCATAGGTTATAAATCTCCAACGCGCTGTCCGAGAATTCATTGAAAACTTGCTAAGAAGTACAGATGATGGGTGAGAAACCTTCCTTTGCTTTGACTAATCCCTGTACGACTGAGGGCTTACACAAACAAAAGCACAAAGAGGTGAGAAGAACAGTCCTTATATCGGGGCAAGAGTAGAAAACTGATTCTGTCCAGTCCAGTGCTTTAAGTGGGCCGGTACGCAGTACGGGCACTTCCAAAAATAGCTCTTGAGCGTACCGCCACCTCTCGATGCGCAAAGAACATACTTTTGCAGTACCGGTACTTAGTCTATGATTGATACGCTCATTTGCACATTTAATATTTCAGATGCTCCTCTGCTTTTCAGAGCGCCCTTCACATTGAACCTTTGCTACTTTGTCTCACCAAGAGCAGAGACTACATTACCCATGAGTTTTACAAGCGAAAGGCGCATGCATCATTTTACCGCTGTAAACAACTCAAAGTGGTGCTCGCGGGTGCTGGTCACTGCAGCGAGTGACGAGCGGCTCGGCTTTCCTCACACGCAGGCCGAGCGTGCAGAAACGCATTGACTACACCAGGGGTCTCCAACTTTTTTCAATCAGAGCTACTTTCACACAACAGAAGAGGCAAAGAGCTACTCTTTTTTAAACCTCTATGTAATAATTACAACAAAACATGGAAAACAGATGTAAAAAATACCCTGTACTTATACTTATAATAGATACATAATGACTCAAAAGTGAATCATTCAAGATCATGTGCTAAATTCTAAATCCTTTGGGTAGCTACCCGAAAGGGGCTGGCGAGCTATTGTTAGCTACCAAGCAAGAGGTTGGAGACCCCTGGACTACACTGATGCTCTCACTGTGTGGTCTATGGAGAAGTGTAGAGGACAGTATGGCCTAGAGAACCAATGTAGGGCAACACAAATCCGATGTCTGTGTAAACTTCAGGGAAACAGAAGTGTTCTCTTTCATTTAAAACATGCAAACATTCCCCTGGGTGAAAAAAAAAAAAAAAGTACCGGCACTTTTTTTGGGGCACTTAAAGCACTGGTCTTGTCAGAAAAGCCTGAATCCAGTCAATCCGTGTTGTCGGCCTCAGGACACTTTTGGTGAACTAAACTGGTCCTCTCATTAAAAGGTTTAGAAGCACAATGTGTGAATTCAAGTTATTACAAAAATGCATACAGTTTATACATTACCTCATCCTTGAACCATGTGGGATAAGTTCCAAGTTGAAATTTCAGAAACTACTCTGAAATGGAAGAATATCCATCAATATAATAATAATAATAATATAATATAATATTAATATTAAAAGTTATTTGGCTGGATGCTCCCGTAGAGATAGGCTGAGGAGCTCAGTCACATGGGAGGAGCTTGGAGTCTCCACGTCGAGAGGAACCAGTGGAGGCGGCTCATAGGTTTGGGATCCCTCCTTGACGCCTCTCTGCAGAGGTGTTCTGGTCATGTCCCACTGGGAGGAAATCAGTGGAAGACCCAGGACACAGAGTGTGTCTCTCAGCTGGGAACGGCTCGGGATTCCCCCAGATGAGCTGGAGGAGGTGTGTGTGGAGAGGGAATTCTGGGAGTCTCAGACTTCTGCCCTTAAGCAGCACGATAGATAGATAGATAAATAGATAGATAGATTATTGATCCTCAAAGGAGAAATTCAGGTGTCCAGTAGCAGAAAAAATAAAATGGATAATTCTAAAAAGCTATTCATAGTATTAATCAGCCACAGGCCCTCAGGTCACAACAGCAAAGATGGAGTGGTCTCTGGGTGGAGCAGGACGGGTCACTTAAGACAGAAGTGGAGGAGTCACTGGGTGAGGTAGGACGGGTCACAGCAGCAGAGATGGAGTAGCCTGTGGATGGAGCAGGACGGGTCACAGCAGTAGAGGTGCAGTAGCCGCTGGGTGGAGCAGGACGGGTCACAGCAGTAGAGGTGCAGTAGCCGCTGGGTGGAGCAGGACGGGTCACAGCAGTAGAGGTGGAGTAGCCGCTGGGTGGAGCAGGACGGGTCACAGCAGTAGAGGTGGAGTAGCCGCTGGGTGGAGCAGGACGGGTCACAGCAGTAGAGGTGCAGCAGCCGCTGGGTGGAGCACAGGTCACTGGGTGGAGTAGCCCCTTGGTTTGGACCATTTTCTTCAATAGCATTTTTCAAAATGTTAGCATTCCTCCAGTGGATTTTCACCTGATCCACTCGAACCATGAATCCTCTCTGCTCTGGTCTGGTCCAGTGTAAAACCATGAACACTGTACTGCAGCAACATCTCAGGAAAAAAAAGAAAGAAAACAACAACTGTTTCAGAGCTACTCAGGACTTGCAGCCGTTTTCCAGCGCATTCAAAAGTAAACTAAAGAAAATGGATGGATAAATGTTATATATTTGTATGTGAGGCTTCTTTGTATATTGCAGTTTTACTTATGTATATTTTTTTCTTTCCAGTTCGCAAAAAGCATAAATTCTTAGAAGAAACGGAAGAAGAAATGTTGACGTCAAAAGAGACCAGTGTTTGACAATGAGGACGTCAACATGTTTCCAAACAAACTGGAATCTCCTTCATGGACTTGTTATAAATGGGACTGTTTTTGTATTGTACATTACCAACAAGTTTATACTTTTATATAGAGTTGTCTATATTTTTTTCTCCGTCATTTTTCTTGTAAAGATGATATAAAAAAAGGATCCTCCTTATGCTTTCAAAAACATGTTTTGGTGCTGTTACAAAGCGCCTACAAAAGAATCCTGTTAACTGTGCGACAGCGTCTGTTTGAATTGCTCCAACTTTGAACACAAAATATAGTTTCACACCAGTAAAGCCACAAGTTTGTGACTATAAAGAGGAACTTTATCAGAATCAGATATTTTTTTTACCCTTATAAGTAACAAGAAGTCACAAACTAGGAATTTTCTTTGGCTCAAGGTGCAGAGAAGTCATCTCTCTCTGGCTAGATAACACACAATTATATTATTATACTATAGCAGTGCCTCACTCTTCTCCGTTAATAGACTATAATTTAACATTAATAAAGTAAAACTAGATTTAAATTCTTTATTTAAAAAAACAATCAAACACTGCATTTATAATGCATCCTTGATCAGTTTCAGAATCAATTTTCATATCTCCACAAATGAATCACAATAAGCCACAAGTCTTTGGTTCAATTACAGCAAGTGTGCTCCCTTAAAGATGATGTCCGCAACTTCAACTACATTTCATTATTACAATTTTGCAAAATCCAGACCAAGGGACTCTGTATAATGAACAGGTCTCTACCATTACCATAACTACCTCCAGTAAGATTTACTGGAGGAGAAAAGTTCAGCCAATGACGAGGGGCATCAAGGATTTGAATTCATTTCGGCCAATCAGGAAGCTGCAGGGGTGAGCATGGGCGGGGCTAGCCAGTACTGGTCTTCATACTCTCTTCACAGTAAATTACATTAATCAAAACAAAATCAATTCCAAGTCAATGTTTCTTGTGTTGCAGAGGTGTCAAACAGTTTTTCTTAAAGGGCCAGTGTGTCTGCAGGTTTTTATTCCAACCAAGCAGGAGCACAGCAGACATCAGAATTCAGTCACACTTTAGTTCAGTCCTTTGTGTTAATTGGTATTTATTAAGCACTTATTAGTCTTTATTCCACATGGCCTTATTCAGCATCTAACTAACGACTAACCACGTTCCCATGTGGGATATGGTAATGAGTATTTGATTAGCTGTTAATTAGTGAGGGCTATTTTATTTTCATTTTAAGTAACAGGAAGTCACAAACTAGGGATTTGCTTTGGCCCCAGCTTCAAACAAGTTATAAAAGTAAAAAGATAGCGATAATCTTCATCTATTTCTTCAGGTATCAGGTTAAGACTGGACTCACCAGGAAATGGGTGTATTCTGCTGAGCTCCTGATTGGTTGGAAGGAAAACCTGTTGTAGTGTGTCCCAGTCTTTAGCATCATTGCTCTGTTCAAAACCCAGACGCTCCATGCTTGTTGCTGTCTTCAGCCTGAGCCTTCCGCCTGAGTCTTCAGCCTGAGCCTTCCGCCTGAGCCTTCCGCCTGAGCCTTCCGCCTGAGCCTTCCGCCTGAGCCTTCCGCCTGAGCCTTCCGCCTGAGCCTTCCGCCTGAGCCTTCCGCCTGAGCCTTCCGCCTGAGTCTTCCGCCTGAGTCTTCAGCTTGAGTCCTCAGAGACAGTGGTCACAGTGTACAGGTCATGTCGTCTCTGGACTGTGAGGGGAATCTGCTGCCTGATATCTGCCAAGTACTGCAGATCTGAAGCCATAAAAACAACAGTTGTACTAGTGTTTTTTCTCCATTAAGACTTAAACTCACCGATATCTGCGTAAATAACAGCCTCTTCTGGACCAGCCTTTGAGACGACCTCTCCCCTGAAACAGTAAAAGCAAAGGTCACATAATACAAAATATAGATCAGTGGTTCTCTTTATTAAGTTCTCCCTCATTCTGTTCAATTCAATGTATTTGTGCATTGCCCTAAATCACAACAGTCTTGGAAAACTATTAAATGTCCCCGATCATCACTGTCCTTTGACCCCCCCTGCATCTGAAAGGAACCACTCAAAAACCTTTTGTTGCAACACTGAAATCTCCCCACTGTGAGACGAATAAAGGATCTCTCAATCTTAATTATTTTTAGATCAATCCTTGTATTTGAAATGTTCTGAATTTGAGCCATAGGTGGCAGACTCTTACTACACTGTGGGATCAGTCCTGGATCTGCAGACTCAGTCCTGGATCTGCAGACTCAGTCCTGGATCTGCAGACTCAGTCCTGGATCTGCAGACTCAGTCCTGGATCTACAGACTCAGTCCTGGATCTACAGACTCAGTCCTGGATCTACAGACTCAGTCCTGGATCTACAGACTCAGTCCTGGATCTACAGACTCAGTCCTGGATCTACAGACTCAGTCCTGGATCTACAGACTCAGTCCTGGATCTACAGCCTCAGTCATCCCGCTCCCACTGGACCAATGGCTCCAATGTGTTTATCATTTGTCAGCATTTCTTTGAACTGTAGATTCTCTGATTTGTTGTGGGCGAAGCCACAAATTTGTAAAGTCCTCTGAGACGACTGCTGTTGTGATTTTATGGAGGACCAAAAATGACTAAAGTATAAATAAATAAATAAATACAGGAATATATTAATAAATACATTCATTTTGGACAATAAAAACTAAATATTTACATTGATGTGTTAAATATTACTATGAAATCAAATAAATATACTTTTATTTAGGTTATTTATCAATATCTACATTTTGTCCTTTATTTATTTATCCATTTATTGCATATATTTATTTATGTATTTCTACATTTCTTCATTTATTTATTTATGTATTTCTACATTTCTTCATTTATTTATTTATGTATTTCTACATTTCTTCATTTATTTATTTATGTATTTATGTGTCGCTACATTTCTTCATTTATCTATTTATGTATTTCTACATTTCTTCATTTATTTATTTATGTATTTCTACATTTCTTCATTTATTTATTTATGTATTTCTACATTTCTTCATTTATTTATTTATGTATTTCTGTGTTGCCGTATGCTAATTAGGTGGGCGGTGCTGAACTCAATGATTGGTGGGCAGTAGGGCAACCAGACAGAAGCAAAGTTAAGCCTAGCGTACATCGACAGAGAAACTGGGGACAACTAGTTGCAAGGCGGCTTTTGGCAACTGAGAGGAGATGATGGAGATGATCAGTTGCCAAAATCGGTCGATGTGCGCGCTCTTACAACTGGAGATGAGCAGTCGGTCTCCAGTTTCAGTCAGTTGCCCGTGTTCTACTTTTCGGCAACTAGTTGTCCTCAGTTTTTGAGACATGACCCGATGTGTGCGCTCCATGCGCCGCTCCGACAACGTGTGTGTATTGTGTGTGTTGCGAGCCCGCAACAGTTTATGTCAGAAAACACACTGTAGTTGAGGCCAGTTGCTGTCGATGTACGCGCTGTTATTCCCGAGACTGGTCTGCTACTGGGAGTTGCCCGTTTTCGTCAGATTGTCGATGTGTGCGGGGCAGCAACTCATGTGCGACGGATATAATCAGTTGCCAGTCTAAGCTTTAGCCTTCTCGGTTTGTGAGAGGATGTGAAGCTGCTGCTTGTTGAAGAGCGTCCAGCACAGTTGCATCAAAGTCTACCTCTGGGTCAGCACTGTGATGAACTAAAACATCTAATAGTCTTTCCAGCCGAAAGAGTAGATAGTCCTCAGGTGCATTATGCTCAACATCATTAACATCATTTGCTAATGCTCTTAATTGATGAGCAACGGCTCCTAAAAAACTTACATTCGAAACTGCCATCATACCACACAAAAGTGCACGGAGGATCTCTAGCTAGCTAACAGAGTACCGTAATGTGAGGCAGTAAATGATCGAGACCAGAGTTCACGCAATCCTAACCAATCCTGTTCTAGATTGAGTTCAGCACCGCCCACCTAATTAGCATACAGGAACACAGAAATACATAAATAAATAAATGAAGAAATGTAGAAATACATAAATAAATAAATGAAGAAATGTAGCGACACAGAAATACATAAATAAATAAATGAAGAAATGTAGAAATACATAAATAAATGAATGAAGAAATGTAGAAATACATAAATAAATAAATGAAGAAATGTAGAAATACATAAATAAATAAATGAAGAAATGTAGAAATACATAAATAAATAAATGAAGAAATGTAGAAATACATAACTAAATATATGCAATAAATGGATAAATAAATAAAGGAAAAAATGTAGATATTGATAAATAACCTAAATAAAAGTATATTTATTTGATTTCAGAGTAATATTTAGCATATCAATGTAAATATTTAGTTTTTATTGTCCAAAATGAATGTATTTATTAATATATTCCTGTATTTATTTATTTATACTTTAGTCATTTTTGGTCCTCCATATGATTTAGGGCTATACACAAATACATTAAATTGAATTGAGAAGAAGTTGAATAGATAAAGACGACATGAGCCCTCACCATGGGTTCACAACGGTGCTGTGACCCCAGGCCACGTACGCTGAGGTTTCGTCTCTGGCCGGTGATGCAGTCGCGACATAAACCTGATTATCCACCGCTCTGTTTCACCACAACAATAAACACATACATGTATTATACAGGTTTTGTACACATTCATATACACAGATTGATTGGTCAGACCTGGCCCTCTGTAGAAGCTCCCAGTGCGCCGGACCCGTCGTCATGTTAAAGGCTCCAGGATAAACCAGGAGCTGACAACCTGGACACAGCAGATATTAGAGCTGCAACGTCTAATTCAGGTCTACTCAGTCACCGCAATGGAAAAAAAAATCCTAAAGAGAAATTGTGCATTTTCGTCATCGTCTCTTTAACATGTAAATAAGTGCATGAAGTTATTTTTACATTAGATATTTTTTATTATATTTATATATAAATAATAGGGGCCCTCTGCACTGGGAGCAGGGGTTGGCTGTGGTTCTAACTCCTGGGCCTGGTGGAGAGTTGGGGGCTACGCTCTCCTCTGGGTCCTGTGCAGGTGGCTCTCTGCTCCTGGTGCAGGCGGCCCCTTGGATGGCGCTTCTTCACCCAGCGCTATATCTTTTCTTGGTTTTACCCATTTTACCCATCTGACGTGACTGTACAGTATATATACAGTGGGGCAGAAAAGAATTTAATCAGCCACCAATTGTGCAAGTTCTCCCTCTTCAAAAGATGAGAAAGGCCTGTAATTTTCATCATAGAAAATTACTAAAAAAATCTAAAAAAATACAGAAAATCACGATTGATATTTAAAGAATTTATTTGCAAATTATGGTGGAAAAAAAGTATTTGGTCACCTACAAACAAGCAGGAAGCAAAGTAACAAAGGCTACCATCATAAACAGGCCGCCAGGGACTCCCTGCAGTGCCAGACGTGTCCCCTGCTTAACCCAGTATATGTCCAGGCCCGTCTGAAGTTTGCTAGAGAGCCTTTGGATGATCCAGAAGAGGATTGGGAGAATGTCATGTGGTCAGATGAAACAAAAATATAACCTTTTGGTAAAAACTCGTCATGTTTGGAGGAGAGTTGCATCCAAAGAACACCATACCTACTGTGAAGCATGGGGGTGGAAACATCATGCTTTTGGGGCTGTTTTTCTGCAAAGGGACCAGGACGACTGATCCGTGTAAAGGAAAGAATGAATGGGGCCATGTATTGTGAGAATTCCATCAGCATCAAATTCGAGGCCTCTCTCATCTTTTTAAGTGGAAGAACTTGCACAATTGGTGGCCACTCTATATGCAAGACTGTACAAAGCTGCTATTGCTAGTATATACACTAATCAGGAGTCTTTTGACCTGCTGGTCCAGGTTTAGGAAGCTATATTTTTGTCAAAGTCTTAAAGAAAAATCAAATATCTTGTTTTGTACTTATTCAAAACGACACATTTTGATTCCTGACTTTGTTTTTTGGTTTAGGGTAACTTTGTTCGCTCATTTGACGTTGCTTCACTGGTTTGAAGACATTTCTGATGTTATGGATGTTACTTAATCAAGACTCTTTCTGGAGTAAATGTGTTTTACTACGGATACATTAAACATTGTAATAATACTCCATTCCTAGTGTTTTATAGTGTTACCTTTTCTGCCGTAGAGCTGTGCGAGTTCAGCAAACCTCATGTCATAGCAGATGCCGACGCCCACTTTACAAAACGCTGCAAAGATTCAAACTTGGGTTAAAGATTCGTGTGTTAAAACCACAGATGCAGAATTAAAGCTGGTCCCACACGAGTCTTGAACACCGACAGACTGCAGCCTGGACTCAGCGTCTCCGACTCCTGGAAGTGGATCTTCCCCGGAACACTGATGTCGAACAGGTGGATCTGGAAGGAACAACAAACAGTGACAAAAATAAGCAAATTTTTGCTTGAATTTGACAAAATGGGTCCTGACTATAGACTGTAAAGGTCTCTCTCTGGTCTCTCTCTGGTCTCTCTCTGGTCTCTCTCTGGTCTCTCTCTGGTCTCTCTCTGGTCTCTCTCTGGTCTCTCTCTGGTCTCTCTCTGGTCTCTCTCTGGTCTCTCTCTGGTCTCTCTCTGGACTCTCTCTGGACTCTCTCTGGACTCTCTCTGGACTCTCTCTGGACTCTCTCTGGACTCTCTCTGGACTCTCTCTGGACTCTCTCTGGACTCTCTCTGGACTCTCTCTGGACTCTCTCTGGACTCTCTCTGGACTCTCTCTGGTCTGTCTCTGGTCTGTCTCTCTCCCTCCGGTCTCTCTCGCTCTCTGGTCTCTCTCTCTCTGGTCTCTCTCTGGTCTTTCTGTCAGATATATATAGTGTGTGTTGGGTCTTGATTTAAAGGTCCCATATTCTGCGCTTCTTCATGTTTAGACCTCAAAATAAACTTTTTCCAACAATGGTGATTCATCACATAAGAATCGGACCCGTCACACTAATAATTGAGTTAACAGAAGTTCTATGCTCCTTGTTAGCGTCTTTTATTGCCATACTAAAAGCAGGTTTCAAAAACAGCTTTCGAGTCTTGTTTTATGGTAACTGTAGTTCTGGAACAGTCTTTGGTGAAGTATCACTCGCAGAAAAACATACCAGATTTCCTTTGAGCCAGAGTTGTGCATTCTTCGTCTTTGGGCGTCACTACGTCCTTTAATATTTACAGTCTATGGTTGTTGCATATTTACATCTAAAAACAAATTTTCTTTAAGTCACATGATGCTAACACAAACAGCCTAGTCTATAGGGGGTAAATGGGACCATACTAATATTTACTGGCTGATCATAGACCACGCTGATTTGCTGTTACGGTTTATCTGCGCTGTCAATCACCTCCTGGAGGCGGGAGTCTCTTGTCACGATTTGAATTGAGTCGTTTAGCTGCAATTAGATTCAAACCTTTCTGTGTTTGAGAATCATGTTTCCTTCTGGGTCAAACACTGCACAGCTGTTGTACAACTTCCCTCCGTCTTCTTCAGGAATGGACCCTATCAAAGACCAAACAGTAATTACCATTTAAGCTTCGAAGATGGTTAACTCCACATTCAGTCCTCACCTCCGACCAAATAGACTTTGTTTTCTCTGGCCATTTCTGACAGCGCCTGAGTGGACTCTCCTGGGATCTTCTCGGCGTATTCAGAGAAGAAACTGGTGCCGTACGGAGAATTAAAGCACTCCTGCAAACAGACAGAGCCACGGTGAGGCCTAAGCAATGTCTATCTCCTCATCCTGCTTTATCTGTTATCATTATGGCTTTTGCTGTAGTCTGTTCATTGCTATTAACCCGCTGTTCTCTTGACTGGTTCATGGTGTGATGTTGGGACCGCTGTATCTGGCCTCCTTCATCTGCACCCGAGTCCTGGATTTACAGCCTGAATCCTGGATTTAGAGCCTCAGTCCTGGATCTACAGCTTCAGTCCTGGATCTACCGCTTCAGTCCTGGATCTACAGCCTCAGTCCTGGGTTTATTACTCGAGTCCTGGATCTACAGCCTGTGTCCGATCTATTGTAGCTTCATATCACTGTGACTTGTATTGTCTTGTGTATAAATGATAATAGTGTGTGTCCTCCTCACCGGCAGCAGCACAAGCTTCCCTCCCTGTCCAGCCGCCTCCTGCACCAGTTTTCGGGCTCGGTTCAGGTTTTCCACCTTCACACTGCTCACCTGCAGCTGCACCACAGCCAATCGAAACTCTGCACACAAACATCATCAAATCAGAATCAACGCAACAACAACTGGAGTCTATGGAAAAATAGTGGCCTGAGTCCTGGATCTACAGCTTGTCTGTTCGTGGGTCTTTCTGTCTGGGCATCCCGGAGATTTCTCACTTTTTCACACTGGGTTTTTGAGTGGCTCATCTCTGATGCAGGAGGGTCTAAGGACAGTGATGATCCAGGACACTTATGGACATTTATTAACATTTATGGACGTTGGACACTGATCTGTTGTTGGTGAATCAACAACTTTGTAAGGTCCTCCGAGAACCCTGCTGTTGTGATCCAGGGTGATACAAAAACACATTTAAATTATTGTGAAAAACCTGATTACTGCATTCTGGTACATTGAATGGAGCATTTTAGTGATGTTTGCACTTGTATTGAAGCTGTTTGTGTTGATTAGTTTCGCAGTGACAATTGTTTCATGTACTTTTTACCTTGATTTATTTATTTATTTGCACATGTATTCCAATGTGGTTTTGCTGCTGGCAAATACACTGAATCTGAATCTATAATACATGTTAAAAGTCATAATGCAATACTAGTTATTTTACTTAACTTCATTCAGAGCGGGGGGCATGTGTAAAAACCCCTGCAAACAGCCTTACATCAACATTACAGTCTCACAAAACCCAAACACCCAAACCAATACTGTGGCTAATGTAAATAAAAGCAGACTCTCTGAATTCTCGACAGATTCACGCTGTATTTTATATTTGCAACTAAATAAATGCAAAGAATAACATGGTGTGGAGTCACTACTTACTGGACATGGCTTTAGTGAGAGCTGACATGACATAAACACTAACTTTTAGCTAAAGGTTTACCACAGCAGACACGGGCTGTTAGCCATCTGACAGGCGGAAGTCCAGACCGCTTCAAAGTAAAAGCTCACACAATTCTCATTTGAAAGATGTAGGTTTTTTTTTTTACATGTTGTTTGACGTGGTTTTTAAAATTTTTTTTTTAAAGTTTCTTGAATTTATTGTGAGTTTTGTTTTGCTATATTTTATTATTTTAGTATACTATACAGAATAAAACATGTACTGTTTTATTCTGAAAGAAACGCACACGCGCTTCCAACGAAGGGAGGTTTTTCAACAACCAATCCACTCGCAACTTTATCCCTTATTCATGTATTGATTTATTTGATAGTGCCCAGAAAAGGGCTGTATAAAACTGACGCATTATCAAATATACATTTTTAATTCCTTATTATTTCTACTGTAACACAAAACACATTCTCATTCATCCAGATCCAGTAAATTATTCCCATTTATTAAAAACAGAAATGCTTAGAAAATAACAGCAGAACAATAAAGTGCAAATGACACATCAGACATGTTTTGAAGTGGTGACATCCTTTGCCCAGTGGTGATTCAGTTCTGATAAAAAGCTCTCCTTGTTTTTAAATACTGACAAGAGAAATCTGCTGCTGCCAATAACACAGTCACAAATGAACACCGAAAACCAAGAAAATCAGTTATGACTGGCTTGAGTAGGGAGGCTTCGTCTAATTAACCCATTATAATCTTAGCAACTTTACATAATTTAGAAAACTGATCGTGTCCTGAGTGTTTTGTCACTGAAAAAAAAACCATAAATATTTGCAAATCCGTTCATACATTAATCGCAATTTCACATTAAGTCCACTTAAGAATGGGAGGGTTATGCTTAAGTACTGATAATATTGACTTATATTAAATGGGATATAGTCCATTCACTTATATGTCTGCGATATTGTGCACTACCGTCACAATCGTCTTCATTGAGCAAATAAACAAAAAGAAAAGGTAAGTTGCCACTATAAGATTTTAATATGTTTCACAGGCATGAGGCTAAAGGCAACAGTGGCAAGCTCTGACGAAAGGAAACAAAATAATTGTTGCTTAGTATTTAGATACAGTTGACAAGACAGAATACAAAGATACATAATAATTATTTTCTTTTACAAATGCCGCCCCCAGGTCACAGCGAGCTCATTCAGAAGTCCATTCAAACCAGTCCATTAACTTGTGTATAATGGGAAAAACGCAAAACAGAAAATGATATTGGAATGATCTACAACCACTGTACAAACCCTGGACTCTTCAAAAGGCCGTTGTTTTGATTAGTAGCTACATCAAACTGCTATGAGCTACAAACACTTAAAAAAGCAAAAAATACATTAGATTCCAAGTCGCTGCAAAGGTCCGTGCTAAATATTAAATATAGAAGCGGTTTTAAGCATGTACAGTACAGAGATCTGCGTATCAGGTTAAATTAATTTAAGAATAAAGTCTGAACTCGTTTGTGGGAGTTGTTATTGAAAAACTAAAATACATTATCCAACTTTTAGCGCTGGATCTACTTTGGAGGTTGATTCTGGATCTGCTCTATCCATTAGTTTCCGCTCACATTATCACGGTTGCACCCGTTTCCAGTCCAGCTGAGAGATACACGCTGCAAAAGGAGAGACCAGATTGTTACCGTTACCATCTAGCCTCTTCCTCATTGATATTCATTACAGACTTTTGGAGGTAAAGGAGGTAGATGCTAGGAACTAGAGGCTCTAATCTGGACTATCCAGGTCTGGCTAGGGCTGCAGGGTAAATCACGGTTGAATAGAATGGGCAATTTTAGTGTCTGCATCCAGCAAAGACACTGGAGATTCATTGCCATTCACCTGAATCTACAGCCTCAGTCTGTCCGTGGGAGTGGACCCCTCTCTCAATGTGGTCCTTCCCAAGGTCTCTAACTTTTTTACGTCTGTTTTTCCAAAATATTTTTTAGTCATTCCTCTCTAATGCAGGAGGTTCTAAGGACAGTGATGATCCGCGACAATTCTTGACAGTGGTCCTCCCACTCACAATGAACCAATGGCTCCGATGTATTATTAAATCTCCTGTGTTTGAACAGTTTGATTCTCCCATCTGTTGTTGAGGAATTGACAACTTTTTAAAAGTCCTCCGAGACGACTGCTGTGTGAATGAAGATCTGGCTATCGCTGTGCTTAGACCTCTTTGAAAAACAAGGATCACTCATATAAGGTTGAGTTTGTTTTGACTGTTAATCAGCTAAAGGAAACGAAAAATTGAAAATTCCAGTCTAAGTGAGACTTTTCTTGTAATCTAATTCAAACATTGAAAATATCAAAAAAAAGATGTACAACTTCATTTCTTCAGGTTTTTCCTTCATGACAGAAACTAGAAATTTCTTTAACCTCGTGCAGCCCTAGCTCCAGCCCCTCCAGGCTCTGTGTTTATGTGAACAGAGCCACAAAACAGGCCTCGAGTAACTGCCCTTGTTGCTGACCCAGGGTACCTCCCCAGTAAAGGAGGCATCCAAAACACATCCCCAAGCCACCTCCCTCAGCAGACTAACCCTCTCAATGTGGAGTGGCAGTGGCTCTACTCTGAGCTCCCCCCACTGAGTGACAGAGCCTCTCACCTCTCTAAATTTTTAGCTAAATACTTCCACAAAACAAAAGGAGACAGTGTGTCCCAAGAAGTGAACTCAGGAATAAATAAACGCGAACTAGGTAAGAAAATGGAGTAACAAAATCTTTTCTGTTCCAATTTAAAGTACGAGTTCCGCAAGCAAATGAGCATCTGTGATAAACACTTCCTGGTTTTGGAATACAAGTGACATTTTGTGGATATAAATAAAAGTGAAAGATAACACAGGAGTCAAATATCGGACTCTGACTGAAACAAAACAAAACGCCGAGGATGTTAGAGAGTTGGTGGATTCAGGACTTAGAAGCCACTGGTGAATCAGAACGCTACCATAACGCCTGAAGAGAAACGTTACTGCCGCAGACTCCCGGGTCAAACGTAGGGTATATTTGGATGACAGCGGAGCACCTTACAACACAGACAGTTAGTTTTGGTCCAGTCCCCAAAACAAGACAGTGATCGACACTGCAGGGGCGCGTCCAGGAGAGAGGAGGCCAGATATAGCGGGGTCCGATGGTGAACCCCCGAAAGACGAACACACGCAGTTTGTTTAACGACTTCATTCGGTGTTTTACGAGCTCTCCATTGCGTCCAGGACTTTCATGATTTGCTGCTTGATCACCTTCGTGGCGTCGCCGGCGTTTGGTATTAGATATCTGAGGAGAGAGAGGAATAGGGTCATGTAGAGTGAACTAGCTTTGTAGATTGTCCAGAACATTATAACCACAGACAGACAAAAGTAATGACGTTTTTTGGCTGCGATGCCTGTGAAATAGAGGGCTACAAATGGGGTGTGTGTATGTTTGTATGTGCGTGTATGTGCGTGCGTGCGTCTGTCTCATACTCGACGACATTTATGGACATTGGTCTATGCCGCTTATGGACCAATGGCTCTATGGATTTATTATTGTTGCATTTACTGTGTTTAAACTGTTTTATTCTCTGATCTGCTGTTGGCGAATCAACAGCTTTGTAAAGTCCTTAGAGATAACGATTGTTGTGCTTTAGGATGAATAAAAAATGAATAAAACTGAATTGTTTTGTTGTGTTGAATGGGTGAGAGGGTGGTAAAACAGTCTATGGTGTGTCTATAGAAGTTGATTTTTCCTTCTCTTGGTGTTCATGTGGAAGGAGAGAACCTAAAATATCCAACCTGGACATTTTACCGGGGAACGCTGTCTAGCTTAATCTAACCTCTAACCTGGAGCCTAATTTAGCTTGTGATACCTCTCCACTGCTGATATCTCCACTCCGGCCGAGTTGTTGGTGCCAAACTTGAAGGTGATGAGTTCCGGATGCTTCTTCTTGGAGGTGATCTTGACCACAGAGTTCAGAGCTTGTCTGGACTGGATGTAGGCAAATCCTTTCCTGGAGGCGATCTCTCTGAGGCAGTACATGTGTGTGGCGGTGATCAACAAGTGGCTGAAAAACATAGATATATTATGTGTGTTACGTTTTAGGGCCGCAGCTAACCATTATTAAGATGACTAGATTGTTTATTAGTCCCACAGTGTTGCATCACCAGTTACAGAACAGTAGGAATGAGGAGCACACAACACAAGATAAAAGAACAATAATTATGCTAAAATAAAATCTCCAACTTAAAAGTGACATAGAAGGATATTCATGAACTTTAGAAAAAAACCGCCTAAAAACGTGTCTCGCATACCACAATGATTGACAATTAGGAGGACCAATGGTTTAGATAAATTGTTTTAGGTCATTAACTCCTTTGTTCGAAGAATATATCTTAAGTATGATTCATATTTTAAACCAAATACACCACAGAAACAATGCGGCAGAACACAGTAACATTCCTGTGTGAAACAAAAGCCGACCTTAGTTCTGTTAGCTTAGCACCAACCCAGAGACAACAATGAGAAAGGTTGGCGTGTTGTTTAGACCCGTGATTGCTTTCACGTTAGGGAAGACAATAACGTGTCAATACACAAGAGTCAAACATGGTTCGATTAAGGGGTGGGTTTGATGAGGAAACTCGGAGCCCATGGAGAAAACCTACACAGACACGCGTAGAACATGCAAACTCCACAAAGAAAGGTCTGTAGTCGGAATCAAACCCAGGACATTATCACACAGACACACACAGACAGTAGAGACACAGACACAGACAGTAGAGACACAGACACACCCGTACGTTGCTCACCTTGGAAACATGTGTCCCGTCTCCTTCACCTCGTCGCAGGGAATGTGGTGCTTCACGTCCGGTTTGTTGATCCAAGTCTGAATGTTCACAATCTCTTTCCTGTCGTCGTCGGACATGGACGAGCTGTCAATCTCATCTACACACACAACATCACACAATTGTATTTACAATTTTACCTGACAAAGGCCCACGGCCGAAACGTTGCTGATCTGTAAATAAGGTGCTCTTTTGCACCTGTCAGAGAAGGATGTGCTTATAGAATTATTTAGCTAAAATCTGGAATGCCTTTCTATGATTAGTCCTGATTCCGGGCATCAGTTGGAGCACTGTGCTTCACATGTGTCCCAGCAGGAGGCCAGTCCCAGAGACCTTAGAACTGGACTGATGTGATGGTACTTCCTGGTTCTCGTCAGGACTCGAGCTGCAAAATTTTGAATGTACTGCAGATCTTTTACAACTCGTTTGGAGAGACCAGTGAGAAGTTGTTACAGTAGTCTGACCCACTGGAGACAAATGCAGGATAAGAATCTCCAAAGTTTCCTCTAAACACTATATTTTACATTCTGTGCACCTGTGTCATACTCCTCCTCGTCTCCGATGCTGAACACCGGCTTGACTCCTCTGTAGGGTTTCCCCACTCGGTCACTGCTGCTCACGTGCCTAAAGAGGAGGAAAACACCTTTAACATACACCTTTAAAATACAAAACATAGAGACCATAACATAAAGACGTCCAGAAAGCTGCAAGAGAAGCCTGCTTTAATGCCGTCATCAAAGAATGAGATCAGATGAGATGCTACTAGTTTTAAGAAACGCTTTTGTCACAGTATGCTCACCAGTGCTTCGGTTCGACTAGCACCGGTGAGCATAGGAATGGCATGGGAAAGGACAGGACGAGGAAACGTAAGTCTTGAGCTACTCTTCACCACTAATAATAAGCGTTTGGATGTTAGTGGAGCATGAGGACAGTGCTGTGTGGTTATAAACATGGCGTGGACAGTGCATGCGTATGTTACAGCGTGGTGTGAGTCTACAGCCGTGGGCATGCTGTGACCAACAGCGCGAGGGTCTTACCTATCTGGGACCACCTTCTCAGGCCAAGGCAGATTGAAAGATATTCTAGTGTGAAATAAGGCAAATAGGAATGTAAAAACCTGCAATAACGATTGTTTCTTTTTCTTGTACTACAATTATAACGAACAGTACAACTACTTAAAGGATCATCTTGAAACTGCACACTTATCTTAACACGAGAACTTCCAGAGCAGTCTATTTGACGGCTTCTAGTATTGGAAGTGTAATTACTTCACTAAAGTACATGCTTTGTCTTCATAGCTTTGTGACTTTTTCTATGTGAACTTTCTATGTCACTTTGTTTATATTTTCTTCTTTAATGCAAGTTCCCCCTTTAACTCCATTAATTTGAATTTTCTAGTTTTTTCTATTTACTTACTCACGACATGGGAAAAAAAATCAGCTTTAACTATACAACATGTTTTGAGACTAAGGCCTGGACTCCACCGGGCGCGTCTCCGTTGACGCGCGTTGGCTGCTGTCCGTCAGCCGTCCGTAAAACGGACTAGTGGTCAAACCGGCTGCAGCAGCGCGCAACTCTGGCTGTGCGTTTATCAGCCTGCTTTGTTTTTGTAGGAGACATGTTTGGGCATTGTGTGAATGAATGAATGTTTGGCTGATGGAGAAGTTATTGTCGGCGTGCATGTGTGCGTGAGCGTGTGCGTGAGAGCGCCCGTGTGTGTGTGTGTGTGTGTGTGTGTGTGTGGTGGGAGGCGTGTGCGTGCATGTGTGTTTGGGTCTGTGACTGCAGCGTTTATTATGATCCAGCCTCTTCGTTTGTTTTCTACTTATTTAGCGCATGATACACTTTTATCGGAGCCAACTCGCCTCTCCGCGGCTTTAGGCAACAGGCAGAGCTATAGTTTTAAATAGAAGAAGCGGTGTGTGATTTGAATGAGCTGTGGCTATGATCAGTGCAAAGCACAGCATATTGAAGCATTGAGGACGTCGCGATGGATGAGGCAAAACTTATTGAAAGCAATTGGAAAAAGGGGAGAGAGAAAAGAACTCCAACATATCCAGTGTTGTGAGATCTGTCTCTCATAAGTGCAGCTCTGTGTGTGTGTGCGTGTGTGTGTGTATGTGTGTGTGTGTATGTCTGTGTGGGAGCGCGCGGCGGTGAGGAGAGAGCGCCTCGGAGGAAGACGGGACAGAGCGAGAGAAAAAAGAGCGAGGTGTATGTAAAGATTAGCGTATTAACATTACGCGAAAAATAAATGGTAGATTTACGATCAGGAAACAATTATTTAAATTAATACATGAAAAACATTACACAGGTTTGTTAATAATCATTGTCATTAACAAATACTTATAACCAAGGACTACAGCATATATCAATACATGTTTAATAATGTGGTAAATATATTATTCCATTGCATTTTCAATGGAAAACGGACCCGACACGCGTCGACGGACGGAACAAATAGGATTGTTTCTATTTCGTCCGTCCACGTCTTTTGCACCCTCCGTTGACGGAATAGGTCCGACGTGCGTTGGACGGACGCATGCGGAGGCAGTGGAGCCACTTCCATTCACTCTCATGGAGATAACGGAGACGGAGATGAAACGGACATGTTTGGACGGATCCGTCGTCCGTTTTACGCGCCCGGTGGAGTCGGGGCCTTATACTTTGTCCCATGGCAACAACCACTGGCTTCCACTGACAATTTGTGAGGTCAAATCTTTCCCAGAAAAAGCTTTTTTTGTTAATCTATTGTAAATGTGTTACTGCTAGGACAATTCCAAAAATCAACAATATGCAGGACAGATCAGGAGCCACGCAGAGCACTCACTTGTCGACGGGAGCGGAGGTGTTCTCAATGAAACTGATCATCTTCTCCTTCACATTCACAGACTTTGACTTCAGAGCAAACGTCATCTTGTTCATCAGAGACTTGACTCCTTTGCTGTCGCCGGGGCTGCACAGATCTCCCTATGGACCAACAAACACATTACACACAAGAAATATCCTACATTAGCGATTAAGAACTATTATGACACAAGTTACATTGTCTTTTCATGTTTAATAATGTGAATTAATGTTAAAAATATATGGTGAAACAAGTAGATGTTATGCTTGCGTTTAAAAACTATTTAAAAATATTGTAAAATACTAAATTAAACAACCCATACACACAGGTATAGAGACCACACTGACTGACCCATACTTTAGAGGCAGAGTTTAGACTTTTTAGCTTAAACTTTGCCTGTAGACTTGCGCAATTAAAATTAGTGTCATGGAAAACACATACCTACCTGAATATTTATATTGATATTATTGATTATTTCTGCATGATATGTGAAAGTTCATTGAGTCTGTGCTTACGTCTACAGAGCTGAGGCTGCTGTGTGACCCCGAGGTGCTGACGATCCAGTTCAGGTACGAAGAGTCCAGACCTTCGATGTTCATGTCGACCAGGTGCTTCTGAAGAGCTGCAGGAGAAAGAAAATTGTAACACAACATTACACAATACATAAATACAGTTATTCTAATGCTCACTTACCCATGAAGCCTCCTTTAGCTATACTGACGTACTCTTTGCTTTTCTGCAACAAAAATAAACAAGTATTTTTCATTATTATCTTTTAAATCAGGTTTGACATATAAAGCACAAGTTCACATATTTCAGAAATCATTACGCACATACTTAAAATGATAACACAACAAACATTCATTCTTTTTATTCATTCCAATCACCAGGGCCATTCAACTCACTCCTCATAGACCCAGTGTTGCAGGTTTTCACTCCAAAGCAGAAAACCCCAGACTTCACCCATTTCCTCATGTATTCTCGTTAATGTCTAAGACTGGACTAACTTCATAAAATGCTGTTGTACTTTTCTGTTGTTGAAATTTGATTGAATGTTATTGTTGTATTTCTTTTTCATGTAACCAGGGACTGCAGATGGAAACACACTCTTCTCATATTACCTAATTTCCTTGGTATATGTCCATTGCTTTCCTGGTTTAAAACATGGGTTAGGCCTCCCTGAGTCTCGTACCTGCAGGAAGTGAGCCAGCACCATGTTCATGTACATGTCCTCCTCCTCGCGCCCGCTGCCCATGAAGCACAGGTGTTCTCCGCTGGCGATGGACCCAGACTCCAGAGACTGTTTCTGTGCCTCCAGCAGAGACTTCACTGAGAGGGCGAACTCCGAGGGGTTCTGCAGCATCTGAGGAGACCAAAGGCTTTATGTGTTTTATATCGTTGCATTTCCTGTTTGTTGAACTGTTTGGTTCTCTGATCTGTGTTGGGGCAAATCGACAACTTTGCAAAGTCTTCTGAGATAATTGCTGTGATGTAGGGCTATAAAAAAAATACATTGAAATTGATAATGTTTATATTGCCAAAACATATTTTATATTTTGATAATATTCCCTCTTGTTCCGCAGCTTGAACTCAGACTGTATTCACGGACAGATTCACGCCTATCTCCGCCGTTCTAACTAATGGGCCAAAAAATGTGCTCTACTGGAGCAATCCAAAATGGCCGCGAGTGGTCCCGCGCACAAGAAAAGTGTGAAAAAACGCATCTGCGCATAAGTCAGCCGGCGCAACTCCATTCATTTGAACGAGAGACTTCAAAAATTCACAGCAAGTAAACTAGAGTGGACCAAAAAAATCCACCCCCCTCAGCATTGACACACATGTGGAACGGAGCTTTGGACCAAGAGCCAACTTTTGGTCCATCCTGTAAAGACGTTTTTGAGAGGTCTATATGCTATATGTATATAGGGCGGCAGTAGCTCAGTTGGTAGAGCGTTGGCCTTTGAGCCAGAAGGTCGTGGGTTCAAGCCCCGCTCAAGACCTTCACCATCAACTCCCACTGACTACTATCGTTGTGTCCTTGGCAAGACACTTAACCTCTGGGAACACCAGCCACAGTGGGGCGGCTGCGGCTGTAAAGTGCCAAACTGCCGTTGTGTCCTTAGGCAAGACACTTCACCCCCATTGCCTAGAATGAGTCTGGTGTGTGTGTGAATGGTTGGTGGTGGTCGGAGGGGCCGATGGCGCATACTGGTTGCCTCGCTTCTGTCAGTGTGCCCCAGGGCAGCTGTGGCTACAGCAGTAGTTTATCACCACCGTGTATGGAGTGAATGAATAATGACACATGTGAAGCGTCTTTGAGTGTCCAGAAAAGCGCTATATAAAACCGATGCATTATTATTATTATTTTATGTTAGCATTGGCTAACATATAATAATACCACCCCGGGGTGGTATTGCAAGCATGTCAGCGCACGTCATTTTGGCCACTTTTGAGCTGGGACCCTCCCCCACTGCTTGTACTACAGTCATTACCTCTGCTCGGGAGGTAAAGCAATCACCCGAGTTTGTCTGCTTGTTTTTGAGCAACATAACTCCAAAGGTTATGAGAGGCACAACAGTGAACAGCGGATTCACTTTTAGAGGAGATCTGAATCACCTCCACCATATTTGCAAAACTTTTTGTAGTTGTGCAAACATTGCCCCCCTTGTGACTTAGTTTTATAACCCATGTGTAAAACAGTTACTAAACAGGTTTTATCGCAGTCTAAATTACCACTTTATTTGGTTCTCACTAAACAGGTCTGAGTGATTGAGTGGTTTAGACACACAGCCCGTGTCGCTCAGTGTCAGGAGGGCTGTTAGTATTAGATAGCAATATGGCCTACGTGCAGGACTCTACAAGGACTCTGATTATTTTGACTATGATGTGACTGTCTCTGTGTGACACGTACGTCTTTCGATGTGTGAAGTGACAATGACTATATAAACTGTGTACTGACTCCATTCTGTCTGAGAGAAAGAAACAAAGGAAACCACTGGAACTTGAGAGAAACTTAAATAAACTTCCGGAGTTTGGCGCACCACGATCCGTCTTGTCTGCTTCATCCCTGACAGGGCCTCATGAGTTCGGTGTCAGTAAATTACTAACTCCACTCACCAAGTCTGAGTCCAGATGAAACGCTGTGGATAAGTGACCAGAATTATACTGTTCCGCAGGTCGACAGTCCACCACAAAGAAGCGTACGCCGTCCTAAACACACAACATTCATTTTACAAAGACAGATAAGATAGATATAAGGATAGATAGAGAGATATAGAGAGATATAGACATAGACAGATGGAGGCCCAAACAGCACAAGGATACTCAGTTGTTGTTGATCTTTTCAATTACTTTTTTCCATAAGCTATTTTCAGGTTGGAGAGTGTTTAGTCTGAATGTGTGTGTGCGTGTGTGTGTGTGTGTTGTCTGTCCAATACCATCTGTGGTAGTGTCATGTATTGTACTACTGTATGTACTGTACAGTTGTGTGTTTTTTGTGTATTGTGTGTAATGTGTGATGGGGGTTGGAATCAAGTATTTGCTTCAACCAACCCCATTTCGAACCATGTACTTTTTATTTGTTTTAGGATAGCACTAACAGATGTGTGTTGGTCGCTTTGTCTGGATGAGTTTATTACGTATTAAGTAAAGAAACCCGTAGAGAGACTGACCTGCTGCAGCTGATTGGCCTGCAGGATTTCAGGTACAGACACCGGGAGACACAGGGCCTGACTCAGGTCCATCTCCTCCTCCTTCAAAGCCACCAGACTGCTCCCAAACAGGTTCTGATTCATCTACACAAGCACAATACCAGTGATGTCACAGAATATTGCAAACTACAATGATCACTTAACCCTTTAGGCGAGTTTTTTCAAGAAAATATACAATTTTGATTTTAAGATTTCAAAAGGCTATAACTTTAAAATGGTTTGAGATAAAGGCATACTGTAAATTAGAAATATCTTCAGTTTGAACCAAACTTTGGGATGGAAGTTGATTCGTCATCTAATTTGCATATTGTGACGTCATCAAGGCGGCGGCCATTTTGGAAAATGTTAATTATTGTATAAAGATTTCAAAAAGCTGTAGCTTGGGAGTTTTTTGAGATCAGGGAATACTATAAACAGTCAATGTGAAATATCCTTAGTATGAAATGATTTTGGGATCAAAATGAATTCCCTGATCCAGATTATAGATAATGTTTTAGCACTGGTTCGCGGCCATATGGAATTGTATTATTTTCAAAGACCTTCAGTGATCAAGACAGCACTTTTTATAGTTTACTGTCATGAAATCTGGAGATTGGTTTCAATATTTCCCTTTCAAAGAAGTGGTGGGCTTACTATTTTTCTCAGTGGGAATGAGGCTCCAGGATTTATCGTTTAGAAACAGAGAGATGAAATGAATGGGCACAGAACATGTCAGATCGTCTCAACAAGAAACAACAGGCTCTTCAACACTTCTGATCCACTTTTGTGGATTATTTTCTCTCAAGAACTGCCTTCATCCTCATCATCGCTGTTGGTAAAAAGGCAGTGAACGTGATTAGCAATGTGTTTTTTTCCCGCAGCTCCCCCGCGTCTCCCGTGTTCCCCGTGGATGTCTACCCCCGCTACTTTCTCCCACATACCCGGTGTTATGATGCCCCTGTCCCCTCGACCACGGCCCCTGCTTGGTGTTCACAGAATGCCTATACCGCGGCCACACGGAGGACAAGCAGCCGCTGTACAGGAGCTGATTGTGGACTATGGAGCGCGGCCTCCCCGTCACCAATAATGTCCGTGTCTGCTTCACTGGACACCTGCGTGTCTTCCTCCTCTGAATCTGAGTGAGCCAGTACCAGACCAAGTACTTCTCTGGTACTGAAGACCGCGTGAGTAAAATAAAAAATACTCTCTCCATCTGCTCTGCCCTCTCTCCTCTCAGCTCTATCGCTGCTGCTTCGCCTCCACGCTGCAGCGCCGCAGGTGTTTTACGAACTCAATTTACTCAAAAACTTTCAATATAACCACACCCACAAATGCTGCTCATATTACAGGCACACATGTCCACTAACCCCTGTGGAAAAGTATTAACAAGATTCTGCACCACATTTTTAGATACAGCCTGTTTAAGTGAGCAATGTGCTTAAAGGGTTAAAACACTTTTTTGGGGGTGCATTTTTACATTAATAATATGTAATAGTACTCATTCATGCTCCCACAAGGTTTTATAATAGTTGTAATATTTCTAAAACTGCTCAAGAAACCTCCAATTTCATAATGTCACTTTTTAGCTTCAATCCTTGGTCCAAAGGAGCATCTAGTTTTGATACTAGCTTTAGCATTGTTTCATATCAGTTTTTGGTAACACTTTAGATTAAGGATGTGCATATATAGTTTGTCCAATGAGGACATTGTGGCTTAAGTGTGACACCGGTCTCTTTGTGCTCTGTGAGATTTGACAGACTTTGGAAAAGAGTCCTCCTCTATATGGTTTGAAAATCAGTTACCCCAACTTTACTTAATGTGCGTTATTATCTGCAGCCGTAAAGATCCGTACCTTTCTCAAGGACAAAGGGGTTTTTGTCTGGTAATACATGGCCAAAGAAAACAGGTCTTCAATGTCTTCACTTTCCAAAAGAGAAGGAGAATCCTCGAGCATCTCTGCGAAAGACATAAATCTGTTAATTATGTGTTATTCAAATAAAGGAAATATCAAAGTGGGAAGAACATGCAACATGGACTTACATGAACTAACACGTTTTGACCACGTTATGTTGTGCTTAGGCATGTACACATATTTTCTCTGGGGCCACGTTGGATTGTTGCCCTTTTGTCAGGGCCCATATCCAATGTTTTTTTTTTTTTTTAAGATTATTTATTTAATATTACAAAATTATGTATGACTATTTGTGCCAAAATAAAAATGGTACAGGAAGGATCTGTGCAACATCTATTTAAAAAACAGGGTTTGGCTAAAAAAGGAGTGGGAAGAAGAAAACGTTCGCGCTTCCATGCTGCTGTTATTATTGCAACAGTTTGATTCTCTGATCTGTTGTTGGCAAATCAACAGATTTTTAAAGTCTTCAGACTAATTGTTGTGATTTAGGGCAAAACAAAAATAAATTGAATTGACTCCATTGACGACCACAAATGAAACACGAATGGTAGATATGGTGGGACTGAATATGGAATTGTTTCAGATCAATATTGAGATTTCAAACGGACTAAACATAACAATGAGCCACACGTGTCACAGATGTCCACAGCATGTCACTTCCCCTTTAAAAGCAAACTTACTGATGATGTCCTCTTTGCCGTCTGCTTCCTGTGTAAGAATAGATTCTCTGCAGGGACACGCTCCAGAGTTAAAACATGGAAAAGTCTGTAATTTCTGTTGATTCTTTGCTACATACTTGGCGTTGACGAGGATGACAAGCATGAGGAAGAAGACGAGGAAGGGGTCTGTTTGCTGGAAGTAGTGGTCCCATAAGGTCTGCGTCACATTGGGAAGGCAGTGGCTGGAGAACAGGCTGCCCAACTGCAAATGACAAACATGAGCATATATTTTTCTTTCTAGGCTACGCCCATTTTGGAGGGAGATTTGAAAAGAGAATGTGAGTGACGTAAGCCTCGAGGGGGTGGGTGAGAAGTTCTTTTAAGTAATTATAAAACCATTTCATTTACATATACTATACTTCCTGGACTATAAGGCCTACACAAGTCGCACCACCTAAATTTGAAAAGAAAATCTATTTTGTCTACAAATAGGCCGGTTCAAAAAAAGTGTTGGTGCCCGATCCAGAACTGATGGGAAGATTTATGCAGCTATAATCTGAAACAGTCTTACTGAAAATGTGAGACAAGAATCTACTCTAACCTTCTACCAGGTTAAAAACAATATTGTTTAGCTTTACAACTGAAGGATTTAATCTTTGTGCATTGTGTGATAAACTGCGCTTTACCGTAGGACCTTCATCTCCACTGCTGTCAGACTGCAAGTCACTTATTGCACTGCCAATATAACTTTTTTAGGTTAATAGATCCAGGGCTCGAGACTAACATAGTCCCGTCGTCCCGGGGACGGGAAAAAAAATGCACGGAACGAGATGAAATCCTCCCCGGGACGGTCTCGGGACGAAAAGCCTTTAACCAATTTTTCTTTTTAAAATAGGCAATATATTTATGTAAGCGAGTGCTAATGCTCCCCTGTTCCATATTAAAGAGCGAGAGCTCCCGCTCAGGGAATTCTGTTCTGCTCTTAATTGACGCGGAATCATCTGCGAACATTTTCCCGCTTCTCCGTTCTCTGCGCGGACCCAGTTTGACCACGTATATATCACACAGCGCGAAGTTCGTTCCCGAGAACAACCAGCTATTCCTCGTCTTAAAGATTGACGACGCTCTCAAAACATTCACAACAGAGCAGCCTTTTTCATTTTAGTTTTAAGAAAGTTCAGCGTGAACTTTGTGAGGCAGAGTAGCCAGAGGCCCGGGCCCGTAGGTCCGAGAGGAGGAGAGCGCAGCCAGGCCAGGCTCGCCTCGCACTGATGAGGTAAACTCCAGGCCTGTGTGTGAGACACACTGTGGGCCTCATGTATGAAACTTGCATACGGCCAAATCAGGGTGTAAATGAGGCATACGCAAAATATTACACTTTTCCGCATTTATCTATCTGGACGTGAGCGTACAGTACGCAAAAAACGCCAGGTCTGGAGGTGGTGTAAATCTAAACGCTGATCTCAACCTTCGGCACAACACGTCAAAACACGCATGAAATTCAAGATATGGACAACAATAAACATATTCCCTCTGGCAAAATTATATGCTGTGTTTTCATTGAGGATCATGTTTCTAAATTTGAATTTGCGCATCAGAAAAAGTCTAATGGAAACACGCAAACTTCGAATAAATCACAGCTCATGATGAGGACTTTTCGGGTCTGCCTCTACTTCTGCTGCTGTGATCTTTCATTTCACTGTTGTCACTTTTAAGCTTTTTAACTTTTCTCTGCATTGTGATGTTCGTGGGAATCCTTCTGCTCCGTCCTTAGCGCTAGCTCCACAAACACCTTCTGGTTTCTGGTGGAACCATCGAGCTCACGCTGGTGTCCTCTCCTCAAACTGAGAAAGGTGTTGCCCTCATCCAGCGACCAAGGAATGGTTTTCCGTACGGACGTCATGGGTCGAGGCAACGTGTTGTTTGTTATGATATTTGCAACAGCTGAGGCAGCAGCTGCAGAGTGATTGACAGCGCATCTGACCAATCAGAATTGACGTTCGCCGACGTCAGATTGTTTTGGCGGCCCCGCTAGTGGAGTGGAGTCGGCCTTTACTATGTGGACCAGAACTACTTAGGGAATTAAAGGCAGCGCCACCACGAGGCGTTTTTGACGCTTGTCATTTGAAAGCCAGAGAGCCGCACGGAACCAGCCAAAGAGCCGCATGCGGCTCACGAGCCGCGGGTTGGCCACCCCTGTAGTAGATCATCTGTCTGTCTAAGCCTCGTGTTTTAATACAACACATTCTAGCATTAATAATGTCCGCGCATTCTCTGGCTCTGTGCTGTACGTGCCATTAGAGGTCTACTGTTAACTCAAAGCAAACAGAGAAAGAACCAAATTTTATTCCATACGCGGTAGTGTAAAGGCTGATATGTTAATAAAGTGAAATAAAAGCATGTTGTGGAGGCACGCACAGAGCTGAAACGCATCGCCCGCTCCATTGGCCTCATAAGACTATGTGCGGCTTTGTATCGATATTATTATAAATCCATGATCTGTATACAACATGCAGCCAGCGCTCCTTGAAGTTAATGTTTGTATAGCTAGGATTGGCAATTTACCAATGTACCTAATTTATCAAAATTTAAACTGCACATTTTATTTTACATTGTGTAATAGGCATACTTTTCTACTTTTCTTATAACCTGGCCTTTACAACTGTTATGAGGTGTATGACGTCTTATAAACCCTCTTTTACATAAATCAATAAATAATCAGTGAATATAGTGAAAAATTTTAAAACTCGGTATGTTCCTCCCCCTACATGTTCCAGCAATCTCCTAAGGTGTAGAATGAGCTCAGACCTGTTCACCACAACTGCCTCTAAAATCCTGCACTGTCACTCAGAAAGGTGTTAATTCGGGTCTTCACCCGTCATGCACGAGCTTAATGTAGAAGGTGCAGTTACACATTTGACCTGAGGTGGCAGTCGTGAGTATAAAATGGCCAACTTGCATCTAGTTCCTTTAACATTAACAAGTGTCTTACATTATTCAGTTGATGATGCGAGTCTGTGCGAATTGAATCTGTTTCTGTAGTTTTTGCCTCTGATGATTTTACTCTAATTTAAGTGTGTCTGCGCGATTTGTATTTATTGTTTAAGAATGTTTTATCAATAAATTGCATTATTGTTAAATGAGTCATTTATTTACACACTATATTGTGTAAAACAATAATAAAAATACATTTAAAATAAATGTATAATTAAAAAAATGTACTAAAAAACACTTATTATACCCAGCTTATGGCGTAGGAGTCTGGTGTGATCTTCTTAGTGTCCAGGAAAGAGCAGAGTTCGGGCTCGTGATACTGCAGCAGTAATCTGAAGAGGTGGAAGGGTCGCCCTTTAGGCACACAGTCTCTGAAAGGGAAATGAAGACATGAGCCATGGGTTCCATGTGGTGGTTCACAAAGCGCAGGTGACACGCCGCACCTGGGAATGTACTTGTTCATGAGAGCGTAGAAGCAGTTGTACAGGTCGCTGCGCGGGAGGCTCAGACCCAGCAGCGGTTTGAGGAGATGCGGGAAACTCAGGTCTGTGCTGAAAGTGACGTTACGGGATTTACAGTAAAAAGTAATGATGGCCTCAACGTCGGCCTCCGCGTCTCCTCTCTCCTCCTCCGACACGCCCAGCTGACCTGGACCACAACATACACACACACGTCATTACAGAAGAGAAAATAAACACACCTTCATATACCTGTATATATGAGAGAGAGAGAGACAAAGAGGCAAAGAGACGGAGATGGAGAGATAGAGATGGAGATAGAGATAGAGAGAGAGACACAGACAGAGAGACACATTATCGATCCCAGTGTGAGAAATTCAAGTGTCCAGCAGCAAAAAGACATCCATCCAAACATTCACAAATAAATACATAATTCTAAAAGTCATTAACAAGAGTAACAACATAATAAGTGTGCATGTTTTACTCAGAGATCTGAATTTATAGATTTTTTTCACAACAATAAACAGCTTTTCTCCCGTCCATTCCTCAAAGGTTTTCCTTCTCAGTCTCTCGATGCTTTCAAGAGCCTCCTGATATTTTGGGACAAATTCGATCTTTTGAGGGCAGCTATTCTGAGCCGAACTTGAGGCTGTCGTGCTTGTCCTCTGTTTCATGGAAGTCTAATAAATCAAGAACTATTCCTGTGACGCCCTTGATCTAAAAAAAATTAAAATAAAAAAGACTATTGTGAAATGTTATGTTTTTTTTTTTTTTACATGCATACCCTTACAATTGCCTAGTTTGTGACTGATTCTGATAAGCCACTACTTTTTTCTAGTTCTTTGATCCCTGCGGATTTCCTTTCTTTTCATATGTTGTTGGTGTGGTTTATATTTGTGGTCTACAAAGTACAGTACATGAAATTAAAACAATCCTCTTCATTATTGTTTTTATAAGCAACAATAAACATAATAACCATGCATCTCTAGAGCAGTGTTCCCCAAACATTTTGATCCATGGTTTATTCCATTTTAACAATCACATGACTCCAACTTTGTATTATATAGAAAAACTAACATTCTTTCTAATCTTTTAACATACAACTTTTTTAACATTATTTTGACCAATCAGGTGATATTGGATCATTTCCAAAGTCACATCAAACAATATCTCGAGGCACACAAACACACCACAGCCCACTAAAGAATGTGAGAAAAATAATGGGAACAATTCCATCCACAGAATGCACCTCCGTTGATTATTCCTCAATAGAAAATCCCCATTATGAGGGTGACTCACCTATGAGCTGCTGACTGCGGTTGTGAATGAGAGTCTGTTCTGGTAAATCCAGGACACCGTCCCAGTTCGACAAACTGTCTCCTTTTCCAGAGACGTTTAAAGCAATCTGACAAAACACAGGAAATAGATGAATCACAAACCAACAATAAATTCTTTGAGTAATATTCAAAGATCATATTTTTTATGAAGTGCAAATATAGACATGAACAAAAGGTATTTTAGAATATTGTATGTATCGTAATTTCTACTTTTTTCTACTTCTCTGATATATAGTGCCTAAACCTTGTCTTTAAATCCTGTTGTGTCCAGTTAAAACAGTCGTCTCTCTGCTACATTACAACATGTAAACCTGCGGCTTATACACAGGTGCGCCTAATAGTCCAGAAACTATGGTAACTATGAAGGACAGCGAGGTATGTCAAGTATCTACAACAGGTGGGAGTGGCCCAGACTATAGTCACGTCATCAGACATACCTGCCTTTCCAGTCTGATGACTTCTGCCACAGTTATTATACAGTACATGCCCTGAAGAAGGCCCTACAAGGCCGAAACACGTAGGCCAGTCCTTTTTCATTAAAGGATTTGTATCTACTGTGCAGGGTGCCTTGGATATTTTCTTCATATTTTGTCAGTTGTTGCCAGTGTACATGTCTGATGTTAAATATGGTATACTATATAAAGAAAATATCATATAAAGCATATAGCATAAAAAGCTTGTATCCACATTGATTGAAGTATTCTAAATTATTATTTTTCAAGCTGAATTTTGATGATCTTTCCTAACTCGACTTGCCCTGGGTCATTTAGACCTTTTTAGATCCTAATATAGAGTTTAAAAGAGTCTATTTTCATTCCCTGTGGAGGGTAATTTTGACTTAGCACAAGGGTTAATGGACAGGCTCAAATAAGCACTGCCTCTGCCTATTCCTTTTTGGTTACAATTATATTGTTTGAACTTTGATTGTTTTAACTTGGCCATCACCTCAACAATGTTTTCTCACAGCTGATCCTGAAAAGAATTGACCAACTGAAAATTTCTCTAACTCATTACAGTGAATATTCTAAAACTGGACGATAATACTTAAGCGATAGTGAGTGCGAGTTAGGCATCATGGTGTTGGTATGCCTGGAATACAAACAGGCCTAGTCCAATATTTACCTTCCATATCTTGGCTCTATGCTGAGGAGAGAAGTCGTCCTCCTGCGTGAAGCCTCGGTCCATCTCCAGGTCTGACCCAGAGTCCAGAGCCTCGGCCAAATTCTGGCTCCTGTTAAATACTTGCATCAGATTTTCTCAACATTGACGCGACTCAATTTACCGGTGATGGTTTAAAGCAAAGTTACAGCGTATTGACACAAGAACTCCAAAGCAGTCAAATTGTGTAGTGTAATAACGTTTATGTACATTTTTGGTTTTCATATCTTTGTGACTTTTCTGTATCTTTATTTCATCTCATTACCTTTATAAGTTTGGTCGACACTCTATGGCAGTATGACCCTTCTCCCCAATGTGCTGCTCCTGGACTGGTCCTGGACTAGCTTGTTTTTATTTTTTTAATTTTTGATCAGAGAAGAGATATGGACCAATGACTCTTTGTGTTTGTTGATATTGTATTTCCTGTGTTTGAACTGTTTGATTCTCTGATCTGTTGTTGGCAAAATGACAACTTTGTTAAGTCCTCAGAGATAACTACGTTGTGATTTAGGGCTATACGAAAATAAAAGTAATTGAATTGATGATAGCTCTGGTTACCATAGCTGTCATTTTGTTGAAAAGCTAAATACTGCTGTAATTCATTGATACTGCACAGTTAAAGGACATTTTTTTCAGAATACCAATGGTTTGAATGAGAGCCGGCAAACTGACTGGATGTCCTATCGACTTTCATAACTTTGTCTAATGTGATCTGTGAAACATTTCTCACATTTAAAAATAAATCAAATCCTAGTTTTCAAACCACCACAGAGCATTTTCCTACTCATGAGGAAAACCACATCAATGACAGCAGAACGAAAGCAGAAATTAACAAAAATGGAGAGGCTAGCAGCTCTTAGCACAGTTTAAAGGGAAACTTCAATGCTAGTTTGGTTAGCTTCTCTGCTAACTGAACTGATGCGCACTGGCTCACAATATTTAACACGATTATTATAATTCAGCAGACAAGGACGTGTCGTATTCCTCAGTGTTTGTACAAATAAAACATGAGATTGACAACTGCACAGAAAGTCATATAATGAATAGAGATTAGCAGGTTAGCAACAGCAGGAGATCCTGGGATTATTCCACAGTCTGTGTCCGTACTGAGAGGTGGTCATGGGACAAATAAATACGTGATAATGAAGTATGCTACGCGGTTTGGAAGCGAAGTGTGTTTCTGTGCCGTAAATAGTGTGAATTGATTGATCATTTCGAATGAACAGCTCTCACCAGCTCCTGGTCTGGGCTTCCTCCGATGACTCCGCCATTGTTGTGGCCAGACACGTCAGACGTCAAACCAGTCACGTGTTGCTAATTCAAACTATAAATCAGAAATACCTTAAATAAAGACATATGACTTTAAGCATTAGTTCTTTTTGTCTTTGCTAAGACTGCATTGATCTAAAATACAGGCCTAACGCAGCCCTTATCAAAACAGTTTATTATACATTTTCTTCCGCTTTATCCGTTGCCAGGTTGCAGGGGCAGCAGTCTGAGCAGATGCCCAGAGTTCCCTCTCCGCACACACCTCCTGCAGCGTGTCCTGGGTCTTCCCCTGGTCTCGTTCAACCCGTTTATTCAGGCAACTAATGGATAGGGCAGAATAAATAGCGACTTAAGTGAGTCTAATAATCAATAAGGAGTTTGTTTGCAGTGATGCCGCCGCTGTATATTGTGGTGAAGAGGGAGCAGCGTCTGCAGTCAAAGCTGTCGATTTACTGGTCAGTCTGTACCCTCCCTCACCTCTGGTCATGAGTTTGGATAATGAACGAAAGGACAAGATTGTGGATACAAGAGGTCCACATGGGTATCCTCCAGACTGGGCTCCTCACACTATCTCTAAAGGGAGCCAAAGTAGAGACGCTGCTTCTACATGTCGAGAGGAGTCAGTTTAGGTGGCTCGGGCCCCTGTTTCAGATGCCTGTTCCAGCTGTCCCACCTGGAGGAAACCAGGAGACCCAGGACACGTTGGAGGGACTCCCAGGATTGGCCTCAGGATTCCGCCAGATGAGCTGGAGGAAGTGTGTATGGAGAGGAAAGTCTGTCTCTGCTTAGACTGCTGCCCCTACAACTGATAAAGCGGAACACATTTTTGGAAGGACTACTTATACTATAAATAAAAACTTTTAAAAAGTCAATAGTCTTCCTCATGAAGCTTACCATTACGTTGCAAGTGACATTTCACACTGTGGGACAATGTTTTTATGTTAAAAATATAAATTAAAAAATAGACAAAGACAATATCAAGGATTTACATAACTTTATTAGGACCATATATAGCTACTCTTAAACTTTGGTCACCGTACATACAATGAAGTCAAATAAGTGCGGGCAAATAAAAATGTTTAGTTTTTTTGAATGCTGAACAAATTTGACATTTAGGACTTCCATACAGTTGTGCTCATACATTTACATAATCTGTAAGACTATACTTGGACATTATTCCCAGTTTGTAATGAGTTAAGTCCAAATATCACTGTCAACTTTTGATTGTCATTTTGAATAGTCAATCTTTTATTGTCAAAATGATTTAGAGCTTAATTTGTCCAGAAATGATCCATAAAAGTAGTCAAACACCTGGAGTCAAAATGTGTTGCTATGCAGAAAAATTGGTCCAGTTAATTCAACGAGCTTTAAAACTTGAATGCAACTTACTCTATCTGGAAAAAATAGCGATGAAAGTATAAATTAGGCCCGAGTACATAAACATATGAACACAACTTTACAGCTATGAACCGGATGATATTTCACTGTGCCTGAATGCTGAGGCCAGAGTAACATGTAACCAAAGGGCCGGGGTAGACTGAAATATAGAGCTGTGAAAACATAATTTGCCTATATCAGGGGTGTCAAACTGGTTCTCAAAGGGTCTGTGTGGTTCCAGGTTTTCATTCCAACCAAGCAGGAGCACAGTATACTCAACCCATTTTCTTGGAGATTTGAGGAAATGGGTGCCGTAAAAGGGAATCGGCCTGTGTGCTCTTGCTTGGTTGGAATGAAAACCTGCACCCAGACCAGCCATTTCTGGAACTTCGACACCGCTGGCCTATATGTTCTTTAACGCATCATAAAAATACACATTTGACAATAAAGTAGAAAATAAATCATGTTCATTTGTATCAGTGAGATTGAACAGAGTTTTCAATGTGGCTAGAAGCAATAAAGGACATTTTTGTTTTTCGAAAATCAACTATTGCCTCTGACAGATTTCTAGTATTTTGAACAAGCATAGAATTTACATTGAGTGTTCAACCATGCCACACAGAGTCTGAAAAATAAAATGAAACAAAAATAACCAGGCATTCTCAACACAAGCTTCCTGTAGGCGTAGTTGCTGCCGAGCCTTGCGTTTCGTGCTACAACATGGAAGAGTAGGGGGAAAACGCTTCAGATCGGCATAAATTAAGTCCATTCAAATTATATACAGAATTCTCACAGTATCTCCTGTAGAGGCTATAGACTTAGTCACAGATGCCCCATTCAGCAGGCAAGTTCAAACAGATACTTGAAGATATAGTATACAAGATTTCACTGTGTAAATCAGGGGGAAACAGGAGCTACTGATATTCATTTGTTGAGACCAGGGGTGCCAAACCGGGTCTAGGATTTCATTCCAACGAGCATTCCTGTGCTCCTGCTTGGTTGGAGTGAAATCCTGGACCCGGAGCACAAAAGACTCTACCCATTTCCCCACGTCTTCAGGCTAAGACTGGACTCACTTTAGGAACTGGGGGAAATTAGTTTGGTGTGCTTCCTTGTATGTTTAGAAGTAACATTGTCCTTCCGGGTCCCTCTGACCTATGCCTCATTCTGGTCGATAACAAGCTTGTGTCTAAAAGCCTCCAAAAGTACCATAGCTGGTAAAGTTATGGAAAAGTCATAAAAATTCAGCCTCAGTATTTATTTTTCTAGTTTTAACATTTACCTTTAACACCAGAGCTCTCAGAGAAGCCAGTTTGACTAAGCTTTTTAGTTAATCAGGGTAAGAATCTTTGTGATCTTCATAACTTTGTAACTTGTTCTGTTTCTATATGTATTTTTATTTTATCTATGTCATTGTTTCATATGAGTTATCTTTTTTTGTTTTTTTCACTTAATAAAACTGAGAATGACCTTTTAATACATCTGGTGCAAAGCTAAACATCTCAGGATGTCATTGGTTTGAACGGGAGCAGTCAAAAGGGCGGCTCTGGTAGTTCTGGGTTAGGGTTAGTAATTCTGGGAGTCTGAGTGTTAAGGACTGGTTTGACATCCCTGGTTTGAAGCCTCTATTAAAACAATCTACCATGACGTTGTAGTTTCCTTGTGATGGGCCAATGAATACACTGTAAACACTATTGGGCATTCCTTTGACACTTTCTCTAGTCTTTTATCGTTTAAATTTCACCAAAGCAAGTTCAAGCAGTTGCATATCTTAACACTGCTTTGTTCAGCATCGAGGACTGGGTTCTTTACAAAGTGGGAGGTTTCAGACCGTACTTCCGGGCCACTTCTGTCTGAGCGTAGGCCGCGTCACATAATGAATACAGATGAGCCATTTCCATCTCTGATTTGGCGAGGTTAATGGCCTTGTTGAACATGTCTATGGCCTTGTCCAGATTCCCCCTGAAACAGCAGACACAAGAGAGAGAGCATTTAGAAACAGTAGCTATGAAAAAAGAACACATGATTATTAAGTAGAGACAATGAAACTCTACATAAAAAAGGTATAGCAAACAATGGTCTGACGGAAGAACATCTCAGCCAGATCCTGTCAGACCTCTGAAGCTAAGCAAGGCAGGCCAGGTTAGTACTGTGATGGGAGACCTCTGTTGCCACAGTAGGGCGGCTGCGGTTGTAAAGTGCCAGAGTGTCGTTGTGTCCTTAGGCAAGAAACTTCACCCACTTTAAAAGGTGTGTGTGTGTGTGTGTGTAAGAGAGAGGCTGATGGCACAGGCTGGTTGCCTCACTTCTGTCAGTGTGCCCCAGGTCAGCTGTGGCAACGGTAGTCCATCACCACTGTGTTTAGAAATAATGAATAATGCTGTTAAGAGTCTTTTAGTGTCCTGAATATAAAACATTGTTTAACACAAATGCTTTATTATTATTATCATTATTTAGTTATGTTAGACTCAAACTACATTTACTCTAGCCTGGTTCAGATGCTCCCACTGAAGTCGCCATCGTTGTGCCAATGGGAAAGACACTTAACCCCACTCTGCCTGAAGCCCCAGCTGAAAGACCAAGGCTGTGTCATTACTGATCACCTGCAGCAGGATCAGTGAGGGGCTGGTGCCACCTGCTTCAGAGGTCTGACAGGATCTGGCTTTCACCTGCAGGTGGTGCCACTTACTCAGGGTTACAATGACCACTTGATTATTATTTTTTTTTAACAGTATTCATTCTGCTTAAAACGAGTGGGCTGAAGCAAAAAACTTACTTCATACAATCAAACTTTTCATACCACAGTAAAATAGTACAGAACAAGTCCATAAGAAACTACATCTGCACATACTGGATTGTGGAATAATCAACAGTCAACAATTTTGGTCTGAATTGTTTGAATTTTAGTTTATAAGACTTGTGTTGTGAAATAACAGGAAGGTAATCAAATATGTATTGTTTATAATCAGGAAATGGTTATCGCCAGTTTTTCACTCACCCCTTTTAAGTTTGTTTGAGAGTTCACCATACACTACATATTACACTAAAACAGATTAATTATCTTTGTGAATAGATTTAAATACACATAAACAAGTTATTCAAATGACAAATGTTTAATCTTACCTCTGCACTTCTATAGTTCCCATAGTTTCGTAGGCAAAGTCGCATTTGTTGTCAATTTCAATGGCCTTGCTGATAAGGTCCAGGCCTAAATCCAGGTCTTGTTTCCATTGAAGCTGTAATAAACTACAAAAACAAAACAATTATTGATGGGTTTTGACTCATCGAAGGAATAAAACTAAAGACAGTTTGTAGATACCCTTTGTGGACATATGTGGTGGCATTGTCAGGTTCCAGCTCGATGCATTTGTCGTACATCTCATCTGCTTTCCCAAACTGCTGCTGATCAGTCAGAGCCTGTGGGGGAAAGTTTCAACACATAAATATATATTAATTCAAACTCTAGTTAACGATTCAAAAAGGTTTTCTGTTAAAATATGTTTGCGTGAACTTAACAAAATTTGTATTACTGCTTGTCTCCTGGAGTGCTCAATGTTATGGCACTAAAGACCTTGTTTACGTTTTTTACAATAAAAAAAGCTTGTTATTGAATAAAAGTACTTTTAGTGATGAATACAAATCAGGAGTCACCAACATCCACCTCACACCATCTCTGTTCAAGTAGCTTCAAAAAAGATTTATATTTCTAATGTTATAGAAATACCTTACAATGAGTTGTCACAGATTGAAATATTACAGTACATACAACACCAGTGATGTCAAACTTCTTTTGGTCGGGTCAAAGTGTAAAAACATAAGAGCAGTTTGGGGCCAAAAGTATAAAAGTGATTTACTTAATCTAATGACACCTCATGACATGATAGTTAAAAAAAATTATTTGGTTGTTTTCCAGAGAAAATAGGTTATAATAAAGTAAAACGTGCCTTAGGTGGCCCCTAAAATAATTTCAGGGGCCACTAAAAATGGTCTGGCGGGCCGTAATTTGGCCCACGGACCTGAGTTTTTTTTTCTTCTATTTTTTATTTGCTATCTGGGACGTGCAATAAGTGCTACACTACAGTAACGAATCCTACAGGAAGTTGAGAGAAATCTTGGTTATTTATTTATTAAAGTCTCAGGAGAAAAATGAATGATTTCGTTTATACTGAAATCATTCATTCCGGTCCATTAGGCTTAAAACAATGTAATTTAGAAAACACAGTAATGAGAGTTGACCTGAGCGTAGAGGGCATATCCTTCTGCACACTTTGGAAATCTTTTGATGACGTCCTCAAAGCCGTCCATGGCGATCTGAACTTGTGACGGGTTATTTCCAGTATAAGCTTGTCTGTACTGAGAAGCACACAAGACAAATCACAGTCACAACACATTTTCCACTGACGTTCTGTGTTAAAAAAATTACAAAACTAGATTCTTACGAGAGCAAAACATTTCTGTGCTTGAGCCAGAGCAGAGTCAGGTCTGAGGAGAATGCACTCATCGAAGTCTCCAACCGCCTCGTCCACCTGGTCCAGCAGGATCTTCAGCTGCAACAACAACACATCAGTCAAAAAGGAACATGAGGACTTTGAGCAGTCAAATTGACTGCCTTGCTACACAGTATTTTGTACTTGCTTCTTATTATAATAGATTTGGCCTTTGAGCCAGAAGGTCGTGGGTTCAAGCCCCGCTCAAGACTTTCACCATCGACTCCCACTGACTACTGTCGTTGTGTCCTTGGCAAGACACTTAACCTCTGGGAACACCAGCCACAGTGGGGCGGCTGCGGCTGTAAAGTGCCAAACTGCCGTTGTGTCCTTAGGCAAGACACTTCACCCCCATTGCCTAGAATGAGTCCGGTGTGTGTGTGAATGGTTGGTGGTGGTCGGAGGGGCCGATGGCACATACTGGTTGCCTCGCTTCTGTCAGTGTGCCCCAGGGCAGCTGTGGCTACAGTAGTAGCTTATCACCACCGTGTATGGAGTGAATGAATAATGACACATGTGAAGCGTCTTTGAGTGTCCAAAAAAGCGCTATATAAAACCGATGCATTATTATTATTATTATTATTTAGATATTGGATTATAGTATAGAGTGATTGTTCATTTATCTTATGCTGTGTGCTCCTCATTCCTATTCTTCCGTAACTTGTGATGAAACAGAGATCCTTTATTTGTCCCACAGTGGAGAAATATCCATCGTCTGTTTTGGCAGCGTAATGACTCCACGTTTGTCTTCATAATACTAACTATTTCTGTGTATTGTTTAATTTCATGAGTTTTAAAACTATTGAAATGCGCATAGTTGTACCCCTAACTCCCAGAGCCGTCATTTTGACTGCTCGATTAATTTGACTTTACATTTAATATTTAGCCTTTTGGCCAACAAACATTCTATGGCAACGGAGGTCCCTTTTCTCCAAGGAGCTGGGACTGGTCCAGGACAGTTCTTGCTGTATTTCAAGTTATATGCACCAGTTATTAAAAGTATATAAAAGTTTTGAAAAAACTAGCTCACTTTTGAAATGATTTTTTCTTTCAAAATTCAAATTTAATCCCATTGATTTTAATGAGAGCTGTCAAAATGAGTTTGAGAAGTCTCAGAAATAACTATAAATAAATAGACCCCAGAATTCTAACGTTACCTGCCCCCTGTGGTGATACACGTCTGGGTTTCTTGTGTCAATGTCGGCAGCCATGTTGAAGTCCTGTGTGGAGAGATGAGGCTGCTGCTGCTGCATGTACATACTGCCTCGTTTGATCAATGCGTTGGCTCTCAACTACAGAGGATCAAAGCAAAAATCATGCATCAACTACAGGGGATCAAAGCACAAAACAGATTACTTCTGTGAGTGAGGTGTTTCACTATGGGAATCGCCTTGGGCGTGACCATCCATGGAAGCTCCAATGGCACCACGTCTGTCTTTTGACAGACAGGTTGACAGTACCTAGCACCGCCCACCTACCCTGGTACAGTCAACCTCCTCCTTTTGGAATCATTCAAAAGCGCTTTCTGACCGCTTTGCAAGGAGGGTAATGAAGGTGAAACACCTCACTCTGTTATCAAAGAACCGGGGTTACGTTAAGTAACCTTAAGTTCTTTTTCTAACTTCGTTCGGTGTTTCACTATGGGAGATATGGACAACTCCCGTATTGCAAGAACTGCTCCTGAAGCAAAAGGACCACCGAGGCGCCAGACGGTGACCTCAAACAGTACCAGAAGCACTTGGTTCCAAGACTACCTGAGCCAAAGAGGAGCCAGAGACATCCAGTCGATAAAAACGAACAAAGGTATGCGGCGATGACCAGCTGGCCGCCGCACATATATCCTGGACAGACACACCTCGGAACAGGGCCCAAGAAGTGGCAACACCCCTGGTGGAGTGTGCCCTCAACCCCTGCGGTGGCACTATACCCCTGCAGGTATAGGCCAGAGAAATTGTCTCCACAATCCAGTGAGAGATCCTCTGACTGGACACCGGCTTTCCCAAATGGGGAGAAGCCCAGGACACAAACAACTGGTCGGCTTTCCTTAAACCAGCTGTCCTGTCAACATATACCCGCAGCGCGCGCACTGGGCACAAAGAGTGCAGTAGCCGCTCCTCCTCAGAGGAGAAAGGCGGAGGATGGAAGGCATTAAGCTCCAGTGTAGGGCAGCTATATGCAGAATCCACCTTTGGTACAAAAGCCGGGTTAGGGCGCAAGCGCACCTTAGATAACCCCTGCGCAAACTGCAGACACGAGGGGCTGACAGAAAAAGCCTGCAGTTCACTCACGCGCTTTGCAGACGTCAGAGCAAGAAGCAGAACTGTCTTATAAGCAACATACTTCAAGGCCACAGCCCCTAAGGGCTCAAAAGGGTGATGACAAAGGGCATCAAGCACGACCGACAAATCCCACAAGGGAACCAGGGACTTAACCACTGGAAGTTTACGTCGTGCACCCCTCATGAAGCGACAAACTAGAGGGTGCTGTCCCACAGTTTTGTCACCGATACCCACGTGGCACGCCGATATGGCAGCCAAATAGACCTTTATAGTAGAAAAAGCCTTACGCTCTTCTAACAAATGTTGTAAAAAACATAAGACGTCAGACACGGAGCATTGGAACGCGATGATCTGTCTAGCCCCACACCATCCCTCAAAAACCCGCCACTTGCAGCTATACAAAGGGCGAGTGGAGGAGGCCCTAGCACACTGTATAGTATCTATAACAGGCGCCGGAAGACCCGTGGCGTTCAAGTTCCACCTTTCACGGGCCAGGCCCAGAGAGCCACCCGGTCTGGGTGAGGATGAAAAATCTCCCCGCCCGCCTGGCACAACAGGTCCCTCCGCAGAGGAAGAGGCCATGGGTCGTCCCATAAAAGCTGCACTATCTCCGCCATCCATGGCTTGGACAACCAACGGGGAGCAATCAAAATGAGCGACAGCCTCTGTTCTCTCACCCGCGCTAGGGTGGGTGAGATCAGACTGATGGGAGGAAACGCATATAGTAGAACGGTCGGCCACGGATGGGCCAGAGCGTCCACGCCCAGAGACGCGTTTGCGTCTCCCAGAGAGAAGAACAGTGGGCACTTTGCGTTTTCCCGCGAGGCGAAGAGATCTACGGCAGCCCGACCGTATCTCCGCCACAACTGCTCCACCACCTGAGGGTGGAGAACCCACTCTCCGTACAGGGGGTTTCCCCTCGAAAGCAGGTCGGCCCCCTTGTTGAGGACGCCTGGAACATAAGACGCTCGGAGAGATAGGAACCTTGTGTCGCTCCACAAAATCACCCTCTGTGCCAGCCTGTGCAGCTGAAGAGAGCGGGTACCACCCTGGCGATTTATGTACGAGACAACTGTTGCATTGTCTGTTCTCACCAGAACGTGATGGTCCTGAAGGAAAGGCAGAAAATGCTTCAGAGCTAGATACACCGCGCAAAGTTCCAGCACATTGATGTGCCTCTGGGCTAAATGTGGGTCCCAGGTCCCATTCACCGTCCGACCCGACAGAGTGGCCCCCCACCCTGACAGGGAAGCGTCGGTTGTCAGGGTAACCCTTGACGACACGGCGCCCAGCGGGACTCCGGCTGAAAGAGCATGATGAGCCTCCCGCCACGGACGTAGTGCAATAACACACTGGGAATCCACCTTCACTCTGCGGTGAAGGTGACGTTTGGGACACAAGCGCAACGCTGTGATCCAACGTTGAAATGGTCTCATCATTAAAAGCCCTAGGCGCACGACAGATATTACTGACGCCATGAGACCAGCGAGGCGCAGGCACGTTCTGAACGTGACTGTCGCACCCGGGTTGAAAAACGCCAAGCAGCAAGTGAGAGACAGCCGTCTCTCGTCTGTCAGTGTGGCTCGATGTGAAACAGAGTTTATGCATAAACCCAGGTATTGAGTCTGCTGTCTGGGTTCCAACCGGCTCTTTGCGTGGTTTATTCTGAAACCCAGGCTGGTCAAGTGACTGAGCACTGTGGCAGTCTCTCTCACTGCGGCGCCCTGTGAACTGGCGCATATCAGATAATCGTCTATATAAGAGAATATCCGTATTCCCCTGGCCCGGAGAGGAGCCAGAGCTGCCTCCACACAAGTGGTGAACACCCGTGGGGCTAGGGAGAGACCGAAGGGAATGACCTGGTACTCGTACGCTGTTCCCCCGTGAGCAAAACGGAGAAATTTCCTGTGCGCTGGATGCACCTCGATGTGGAAATATGCATCCGCAAGATCGATTGTGGTGAACCAATCCCCTTTGCGTATTGAACGACACAGAGCTTTGTGCGTCAACATTTTGAATCTGAATCTCCGTAGATGTGTGTTCAAAACACGGAGGTCTAGAATGGGACGCAGTGACAGAGAGCCCTTCTTTGGAACCAGAAAGTAGCGGGAGTAGAAGCCCAGCTGAGACTCGCTCTCTGGTACAATGCGGATAGCGTGCTTGCTTAACAGGGATGTAATTTCGTCCTGTAAGACACGGGCTGCGTCCCCTGAAGCCACTGAAACAAGCACTCCGTTGAAGGAGGGTGGTTTTATAGCAAACTGCAGTCTGTAACCTCGAGAAACAGTGGATTGAACCCAAGGATTGACTGCGCATGCGCGCCACTGCTCCGCTCTGACAGAGTGGGGCTTGCACCAGGGGAATCCCTGGTGACGTCACTCCCCTGAGAGGAGCAGAGCCTTCTGCCTGAGAAGGAGCGTGAGCTTCCTCTGGAGGCGAACGAAGGGAATGATCCAAACTTAATTGAATTTTTTTTGTTTGTTTGATAACTCACCCTTAGCCCTTGGCCTGGATGTGAGTTTAACAACTTTATTTTTTGAAAAAGTGTTTTGTGAACATGAGACCCAAGACTCATTCCCTGTAACGTGCGAGGGGAGAGAAAGCCAGAGAGGTCGCCTGGAGAACTGTGCGGGGCCTCTGAACTGGTACCAAAGTTAAGATAGTTAACAACACATTCCATTCTCCTCCTTTTCAGAGGGGGAACAGGTGAAGAAGCTTGATTGCTAGGAATTGCGCTTCTTTTTGCTCTCCCCGGGCTGAGAAGAGCGGTTTTTTGCTGCAGCCGCAGCATAGGAGTGTTTTCCCCATGGTCTGGAGTTGCCTGGCCGTTGCTGCTGGCCAGAATGCTGGTTGGAATGCTGGCCAGGGTGCTGGGTTGCCCCCCTCTGCGGCCCAGGGCCCGCCCTGGGAACCCTGGGGCCTGTCTGTCCAGAGGGGCCCGCTCTCTGGGGCTGCGCTGGACGAGGAGGTTGTTTCCTTGGCAGACAAAGATTAAAGGCCGCACCCTCCTCTTTACGGAGGGTACTGGTTTCCTTCATCTTCTCCAGGGCCGGACCAAATAGACCTTTGGTAGGGTCATAAGCAGTGTCCATAACTTCAGCCTTCTGAGCGTCTGTCAGACCTGAGTGGTTGAGCCATAGACCCCTCTCACCCGCTACGGCCAGTCCCATGACATGGCCGCAGCCCTGGACAGCTCCACGAGTAGAGCGTAGGATGAGGTCATTTACCACGCAGATTTCCTCCCAGAGGACCGGGTTAGGAGACCCGGAGTCCAGCTGTTGTCCCATTTCCTCAAGTAGTTCCCCTTGATAACCGGACAGTAAAGTCACAGTATTCAGTACGCATGCAGATTGAGAAGCATATCTGTACATGCGTTGCAGTATGGAGGATGTAACTCTGATTTTGTGGGCAGGGAAACCTGACTTGAGGCTGAGACGGAACGGCGATTAGGATGGAGGTGAAAAGCCACTGAAGGCTCCACCGCTGGGGGTTCGGCCAACCCCAGCTCCTTCATCCCATGGATCTCCAGCTTTGAATAGCCCTGTACAGGAAGCTTGCTCCTAAGTGGGTTATTCCAAAACCTCCCCACCTCTCTCATGCATGCGCTGACAGCAGGGAGAAGTTGCTTCGGAGGTGGATGCGCTGGCGGGAGCCGTTTACCGTCATATAAATCCCTTTCCCCATCCTCCGCATCTACAGCGGCTGGCCAGGTTATGTTAAGCTTGGCGGCAGCGCGCTTGCACACATCATATAGGCTGCTATCGACGGGAGTCGCAGCCTCAGATGCGCTGGAGGGTCGGGACTGGGCCGCTGGGAATGTAGAGTCCTCCTCCACATCATCCATATCCACAGCCTCGAGGAAGTCAGAAGCGGCATCATCGCCGTCTGCGCCCTCGTCGCCTGGGTCCACTTCGAGCAGGTCCTCGAATAATGGCGGCATATCAGCGTCATCGTCATTCAGCATATCTGACCATAGTTCAGTCTTACGGGGCTGTTGAGTGACGGCTGTGGGTTTATCGGTGGTCCCCGCCAGCAACGGGTCGTGGGGATGAGCCACCGCAACTCTGAGCCTCCTCTCCAATATTTTCTCAGGCATAGATGCGCAATACCCGCAGGACTCGCGGTCAGCGAGCGCTGCCTGAGCGTGTTTAGCGCCCATGCAGGTTATGCACATAGGGTGAGGGTCCCTGCCTGAGATGGCAGACCCGCATGACGCGGGACATGAGCGGGATGCCTCCTTCGGCTTCGGATCCGACCCTTTGGCGGGGGTGGTAGCCGTAGACATGCCTGACAGAGAGGAGAGCTGGAGTGAGCACGATTGTATGAACCAGACAATTCGGGTTTTAAGTCGAAAAATCAGGTCCAGGCAAATTCTGTTCGCCACAACACGTTAACAGAACCGCGCACTACAATCTGTTGGCCAGTAAATTAATACTAACCAACCGAACAGAAGGACTGGATTAACAAGTGAATGCTAACCGCAAGGTGATAGGACAGACCGCAACTTAATGTGATCTGTCCCCGTAAACACAAGAGCAGTTCGCCTTGACGCGGTCACTGCTCAGGTAACAAAATAATAGCTTAGTGGTAAGACTGTAAGGACTTACCCAGCGTCGGTGAACCAAAGCACCAGCAACTGCGCTCGCCAACGAAATCCTTTACGGCTCGTCTGTGAACTGTTAAGCAGAAGCTAGCCTAAGGTCCGAGAACGCTGAAGGAGCTAAAAGATATGGTTTCCACGCGGGAAGAAAGCGAGAATGATTCCAAAAGGAGGAGGTTGACTGTACCAGGGTAGGTGGGCGGTGCTAGGTACTGTCAACCTGTCTGTCAAAAGACAGACGTGGTGCCATTGGAGCTTCCATGGATGGTCACGCCCAAGGCGATTCCCATAGTGAAACACCGAACGAAGTTAGAAAAAGAACTGCCCTGCAGTAGCGCTTGTTCTTGCACTGAAGGAGTTCCTCAGCTCCTCTACAGTCCTGTGCAGTTGTCCATGATGGAGGTGACTTTGACAAGCACCCTCCTGTCCCTCACCTCCTCCACAGAGTCCAGGGGGCAGCCCAGAGTGGAGCTGGCCCTCCTGACCAGCTTGTTCAATCTACTCCTGTCCCGCTCTTCCACAGGACAGGGACCCTCTCCAGGCTGAGGTCTGCACAGGTCCTCAGCAGCCTGGAACTGATCTCATCCAGGCAGCGTTACAGACAACTTGAAATGCATTGATATATTGATTACCCCCGGATCTACAATCCACCAGAGAGCAACATTTTCATGGAGATCGAGTCTAAATAAATTTTGAAAAAAGTACTGAATGATATTTCTTGTAGCCTATAGTCCTGATGTTATGTACAATGATCAAATTATTGAAAATCAAGCACTTTCCCGACTTTCAAGGATCTGTACGAACCCTGTGGAAGATGACTCTACAGACCCAGCACGGTTGCCACTCCACACCAGACACTAGTCATCCGCAGCCTCTAACCCAGAGTTTGTGTGTCGCAGCCTCTAAACCAGTGTTTGTGTGTAACTGGTAGGGGTGGGCGATATGGCCTAAAATTCATATTGCGGTATAATTTGGGACACAGACGGTAGACGGTATATATTGCGGTATAATTTGGTGTGTGAATTTCAATATAGGTCTAGCAGGTTCTTGCATAAAATAGTCAAGATTGTTACTTATTTATATATTAGAATCTAATATATATATATTTTTTGAGTTAGAGACAAATGTTGTAACATACATTATTTATGCATGTTACAGTAAATACCATTCACTGTAAAAGCAATTTTTAAAAAGAAAAACATATGCATTCATTTAAAATATAAAAAACTCATGTTGAAATCAAAGTCTGTAGGAGTTAGACATGGTCATTATTTATAGTGTCTGAGAGTTTTGTGCAGGTACATGACTTCAGTAAAAGCTATTGTTCATTTACAAAGCTGGTCATGACATTTGTTGACGCTCCCTAAGCGCTTTTCTCTGCGCTTGCAGTGAACTGGATGATTCAATGGATTTATGTTCATTAAAACAGCGCATTGGATTTTAACAATTGATGTAAATGATCATTTTGGCACAATTAATTTTGTTTAACAAAGCATTTTTCGTGAGATATTGACCGCGGAGGTCCGAATCTGACGCTAACTTTCCCAAACTTCTGCTGTGATGCTGCGGACACGGCTCACGCATGGATCTATTTTGGCTCACACAGGCGCTTCGAGCCTACGCCCCTTTGACACTGATTGGCCAAAAGGTAGACGCTTAAACTGTGATTACTGTGTGTATTTACCTCTGCTGGGGCCGCTGTGACAACAATACAGAGACAGAAACACGGTGTTAATGCCGTGCTGTTGTTCGTTGTTTCCAGTGGTGTCTGCTAGGCTAATAGTGCTAGGCTAATGCTGCTGAATGCCGGTTTGTTTTGGTCCTTTCTGCTGGCGTCAGAGCCTGCGCAATTTAGTAAGTAAGTAAGTTAGTAAGTTTTTATTTATATACCGCCTTTTCACTGCAGATCTGAGTCTCAAAGCGGTTTACAATTGTTAATTTTTGGGCACTTGTCTCACTCCACACAGAGATGGGAGCGGGGTCGCCAGTACAGGAGGCGCATGCCAGAACTATTGGACATATTTTTAGTGGTAGGGGAAACCGGAGTACCCGGAGGAAACCTACGCAGACACGGGGAGAACATGCAAACTCCACTCAGAAAGGCCCTGGTCCGACCGGGATTCGAACCCAGGACCTTCTTGCTGAGAGGCGGGAGTGCTATCCACTCAGCCACCGTGCCGCCCATAATGATGATGACATAATGACCTATTGCAATATGCCGGTATAACAAAAATCTCTACCGTGGGCCAAATTTATATCGCATACCGCTTATACCGTTTATATCGCCCAGCCCTAGTAACTGGTTCACCTTGACATTGGCGTCCTTCATATTGATGACTCGGTCCAGATCCGGCTGAGCGGAGGTTGCGTTTCCAATCAAGAGATAGAATGTGGCGCGCAGGAGCAGGGCCTCAGCAGTGTACCGACCCTCAGAGTCCACCTCCTTCGTGCATTCACTGATTATTTTGTCGTAGTTCTCCTCCTCCATGAACTGCTTCGCTTTCACGTAGCCCGAGCTGAGGACACACACAGACTTAATTTCTTAGTTATTCTACTTAAAAAACTAGATTTGGATTGGATAGTTCAAGTATTTTTGTGTGCCAGAACTTGCAGATCAGGGTAAAAGCTAAATACAGGCCCTAAAGCAAGGGTCTCAAACATTTGGCCTGCAACCCATTTGCAGGTATTTAATGGACATGGACGTCAAACTTTAATGTCAGGTGCGGCCCCCACTGAGAGTCTGGGCTATTATGCAATACATTGTTTTAAAGTAATTTGGAATCAAGAAAACAACCACGCCATGTATTTAACAGACACATAAAACCCTGAATGCAATAAGCAATAATTCAAAGAAAAAACGTTATTAAACCCAGTCTACACAAAGCCTAATTGCTTTTCTTTCAGCTTTGTTTCAATCCAAGTTGGACTCAGTTTGTTCATAGAAATATAGTAAAATTATATCAAATTCATATTCAATAAAAGTAATTATTTGGTCGAAACACCTTCATACAGATAAACAATTAACAACTTTCCACAAACGCTTGATTCTTGGTTTTTCTGTTTGTGTCCCTGTTTCGAGCCCAATCACCTGATAAATGTTATGTGGAGCTGCCACAGACCTATTCCAGGCTCCAGTCTGCTTCATGTTTCCTGCTGGGAGCCTACAAGAATACACCTCGACTCTCTTTCTCTCTGTTAATTCCCTATACTTTTGTGTTGTTAACTATCTTAACTTTGAGTTGCCTGTTGTCCTTTATGTTGCACCTGTAGAGCCAGGGTGTAATATAAACATAACCCCTCAATGCGGCCAAGCATCACCCACTCTACCTCAGGTGGCCCTGAGACAAATTGAGTTTGAGACTGCTGGCCTAAAGAATGCACAAAAATGCTAAGCGAGCAAAGAGATTTTCAGGAGCACAACATGGACATTCAAGAGGAAAGTGTTAAAGATTGAGGTGATTGAGGCATTTGTTATAATTGCTTTTATAATTCCAGGATCCTAATGACTGTTTATGCAGAATGTACTCCGGCCACCAGGGGGCACTGATCTAAATCCTCATACATACATTTTAGATGACAATAGCTTATTTACAATGTGTCTCAGTCTCCTGTCTTTGCCATATTATTCTTTGCATCTAGGCTAGCAAGGTGTTTTTGTACTCATACAAATAGTTTAGCCTTTGATTATGCAACTCTAGAGCATCAAGTACTAATTCTTTTAAATGTCTCTGCTACACAACAATGTGAGCCTTGTGGTCTGAGTAGAACTAAAACAGATATATATGCACGGTAAAACATGGCCTCTGTCACCTCTCAGAGACCTCCGCCGCCTCCCCCTCTTTGTCCTTGTCTTCATCTTCATCTTTCTTCTCTCCCTTTTGTAGCGGATGTGAGACGAGGTCGTCGGTGAAGGAGCTAAAGTAAGACTTGATGAACTGAGGAGAAGGCATCATGGGTTCCCGATTCTGTACCAGAGACACACAACCATCAACAGAGGGACAAGACGGAGCCACGAGACACACTGCAACCTCAAAAAAGAATCCAACAAACATGTGTCTTACACATGGACTGTAAATATTAACGTACGTCATCACGCCCATCTCCGACGATGAAACTAAATGTGTCACTTTTCACTTCTAAGGGGCTTTTTCAAAATGGCCGCGGGCAGCCCTTCCCGCAAGTATGTCAGCGCACGTACTCATGGACTTTTTTGAGCTAGGACCCGCCCCCCAATCAGGCCAGCAGAGTAAAAACACAGCTGCAACGTCATTTAAAAACAGGACATTACTTACTTACTAGGTCATCTACCGAGAGTTCTCACATCTCACAGCTTGAGAACCCAGTCATATCACACAAACATTTCTGTAAATAGGGATGTCATCTGCCCATTATGGACCAAAACTAATGTTTTTTGTTTTATATCTTGTGTTTGATTTTCTAATTAAGTGTTGGCAAATTCAATGGTTGTGTAAAGTCCTCTGAGATAGCTACTGTTCTGATTCAGAGCGATACAAGAGTACATTGAATTACATTCTTTGGACTCCCAAAGACGCTTCACAAAATTATTAATTCAGTGATGATAAACTATTTCTGTAGCCACCGCTGCCCTGGGTCACACTGATGGCCCACACCATCCATTCACTCATTCTTGGCAATATGGGTGAAGTGTCTTGCCTAAGGACACAACAACAGTTTGGCACTACAGCCGCCCCACTGTGGCACCTGGTCAGTGGCGGAGCCAGAGGGGTAGCCAGGGTGGCCACTGCCACCTCTAAAAATATCCTTGCCACCCCCAGTGCCCCCCTCGGAAGACGGCAATGTAATAATATTAATCTTGAGAATCTTTTTCCGCCAAAAGCTAAAAATTCCCACGGTTTCCCCCGTCTGTGAACGCACCCTGACTCCGTGTGGAGCCAGTGCTGTATGCTAATACTTTGGGTTGTTGGACTCACATGTGCCCAAGTCGTGATGAAAACAAAGAGGTAAGTTAGCGATGCAGAGCCAACCGTTTACATTTGACACAAAGTATAGACACACGTACTGCAGCGCATTACTTCTTCAGTTTGTAGAACCTTTAGTGTGTGCGTGTGCGTGTGCGTGCCTGTGTGCGTGCCTGTATGCGCGCCTGTATGCGTGTGTGTGCGTGCCTGTGTGTGCGCCAGTGTGGGTCTGCGTGCCTGTGTACGTGTGTGCGTGCCTGTGTGTGCCAGTGTGTGTGTGCGTGCCTGTGTGTGCCAGTGTGTGTGTGCGTGCCTGTGTGCGTGTGTGTGCGTGCGAGTGTGCATGCGTGTGTATTTTCCATTATTAATTGCCCATCGTATCATCGCCCTCTTCCCTTTAGTGTAAACATGAAAAGAAAAGGAGGAAACATTGCCTACAGGCCTTTTTTTTGTAAAGAAAAGTCCTGTAGATCAGGATGATGAAACCTGAAGGTCAGACTCGGAGGCAGTATGTTTTGAGATGATGAGGAATTTGTTGTGTTGTATTAAAATATAGCTTATATAATTGAGTTTCAGAGAATGAGAGGGTGTCGCAGACAGGTGCAGGATTGTCTATTGGCAGAAGGCGTTTTTTCACACACAAAAAAAGAAAAAAAATAGCTAAGATTATGGATGATGTGCAGTCGCTTGACCCCAAAATATTTTTGAAAGAAGAGCCCCTGTTTTCATTTGGCAGAACCTTTGAGTCAGATATAGAGGACCTTAAGCATGAGGTACGTCAAACTAGGCGGCTTCTTGGGAGGAAAAAATGGATTAGAGAGTCTCTATTGGACTTCCTTGTCCTTTTGGAACATTTGGAAAGTGTTTCATGAGCTTTTGAGGCTTGCAAAGATCTTTTTAATACACATATTAGACACAGTATACTGCGTCTTGTGAAATAAGTTTCTCTGCCCTAAAACTTATTAAAAACCATCTCAGAACTACCATGGCAGATGATTGAGTCATCTTGGTATCCTCAGTGTAGGGTAAAGGAGGCTCAGGGCTGAATATGGATGAGTTTGTCAACATCTTTGCTGCTTTACACCAGAACCGCAGGAATTTGCTACATTCGTTAAAAGAAAAATGTTATGCAATGTTTGAATGATGTTATTTTGCACTTTTTTGTTCAGACTACTGTTTAAATACACTTTTTTGCTTTGTAGTTTCCAAGTGTGCTCTCAGTTCACTTTATATTAAAAATAATGACAAGATTAAGATTAAAATGTATCGTTTAGCCAGTTTTTGTGTGAAATAACATTTCGGAATAGTATAAATGTGGACCCCTTAAAAAAACCCTTGCCACCCCTGGCCACCCTCTGTTTAAAAGTCTGGCTCCGCCACTGCACCTGGTATTCCCAGAGGTCTCACATCACAGTAACCAGGTGTGGCCACCATATATGGCCACACCATATAAGGCCTTATAGACCATATTCTGGTATAAAAGAACCAAATACTTTTTCTACTAAGACGACAACATGAGCCTTCCTTATTAAATCCACATTCACAACCGTAACATATATTAAAGTCTGTCTACAGCAGTTAATAATTACTAAAAATGTTGACTAATATTGAAACTTGATTAGTGGTAATTCAAACAATGAATGGTTGTAGCTCTAGTGCTGAGACAGGTATAAAAACATCACCTTGTACTTTTCTTTCGCTTTCTCTTTGCCGAGTTGCTTGAGCACTTTGTCGGCCAATAGCATACTCTGTTGGTTTTGGAAAGCCTCCAGAATACAGACCGCCGTCACGTCTGAAAAACAAGAAAGCGACAAAAATAATCACATCCAAAAGAGTGGAATATCATAAGAAAACACATTATAGAGACCGGCTTCTTATCAAATTGTTCAGACACGTCAGATTCCAATCCATCTGTAGAATAACATTAGTTTTCCTGCTGTGAATTTATAATAAACAAGTACCTTCAAGACACTCTTTCTTGTTGTCAAGTTTCTCCAGGGCTTTTGCTCGCCGGAACAAGGCCTTGATGTAACGTGGATTCAACTCAACAGCTTGTGTGCAGTCCTGGATCACCTCTGTCCATTTACTCTGAAAGGACAATAGGAAATCCATTATAAGGTTAAGGTACATTTACCTATCCCCGTAGGGCAACTTGTCTGCATTTAAGCTATCCTGCAATGCCTCTCGAGCAGGGATGTCAAAGTCGAATACATCAGAGGGCCAAAAAAACAAGCCGGACCGGACTGGTTTTATTAAAACATGTTAAAATAATTGCATATAACCTATTGAACCAAGACCTAACACAGTGTACCATATTCTATTTAATGATTAAATGATTAAATGAATAATCCAATAATTTCTTTTGGCTCTATGCAGGCCATACTAATACTAATCAAATATCATCCAAGGGGGTCAAGATAATCCATTCGCTGGCCCGCGGGCCTTAACTTTGACACCCA